AAAATACCCTTGATCTTGTTCTGTTTTTAAAATTTCCATTGAATTTATTGCTGCGACATTGGTTAATAAAATTACATAGGTTTGAAGTGTATAATTCTTAATACATAATCTGTATATTATATTATGTGTTCACCACCCAAAGTCAAGTCTCCTTCCGTCACCATTTACCCTCCTTTTACCCTCTTCTGCCTCTCCCTACCCCGCTTTCCCTCCGGTAATCATCATACTCTTGTCTGTCTCTGTGAGTTTTGTTTTGTTTTCTATTTTTAGTTTTTGCTTAAACCCCTCACCTTTTCCACCCAGCCCCCCAAACCCTTTCCTCTGACAGTCTGTTTTCTGTATCTTTGAATTTGTTACTGTTCTGTTTGTTAGTTTATTTTGTTCATTACATTCCGCATATGAGTGAGATCATATGGTATTTGTCTTTCTCTGACTGGCTTATTTTACTTAGCATAATACTCTCCAGGTCCATCCATGCTGTCGCAAAACCCTTTGGCTTATTCTTTGACTTCTGCAGAAATGTGTGTGATTGTAGAGGCTGAAATAACAATTAAGACAATGATGTAAGGTGTTTTGTTTTTTGTGGGTTGTTTGTTTTTTGTTTGTTTGTTTTTTTGCCTTGGCTGATGTAGTTCAGTGGATTGAGCACCAGCCTGTGAACTGAGAGGTTGCTGGTTCAATTCCCGGTCAGGGCACATGCCTAGGTCGCAGGCCAGGACCCCAGTTGGGGCATGTAAGAGGCAACCTATCGATGTTGCTCTCCCTCTCTTTCTCCCCTCTTTCCCTTCTCTCTGAAAATAAATTAATAAAATCTTAAAAAAAAAAAAAAGACAGTGCTTTAAGTATTTTTTTTTTAACATCTGGCATCTTATTTGACAGCATAACTTAATTTTGTGAATGAAAATGTAAACAAATGTGGTCCTTTGATGACATTATCAGGGAAACTTATTACTTATTACTTCAGCTGTTCTCAAGAATTAAATAAAGACAGAAAAGGTAACTTTAAAAACACAATCTTTCTCCTAGAAACCCTCACTATCAACTTTGATATCATCATAATCTTATCCCTGTACTTTCCCTCCATGTGTCTAATCATTTGCCAAGTTTTGTCATTCTACCTTTGCAGTGTCTGTTGTATCTGCCTCCTTTATTCCATCTCTTTTGCCCTAGTTCTGACCCTCATCATCTTTCCTTAGGATCATTCTGATAGGTGACTAGTATCTTCTTTTTCTTCAGTCTTTTAAAAGCCTGTGTACTGTTGTCAGTCTGGATCACATAACTCCCTTCTTAGAACCCTGCTTTGGCTCTCTGTTACTTTTAGAAAATAAAGTAATTTTTATTGTGACATTCAAGGCCCTCCATTATCTGTTCCTAGACTATATTTTTGGGCTTTAGTGTCTAGTAGATCCTTGTTCATTTTCTGTACTGACTACATTCTTGACTTTTTCCCCAGCAAGACATATAAATGCTTTCTCCGCCCATGATGCCTCCCAAGATCCCTCTACTGATACTTAATTTTCCCTCTTAATGTCTCCTATTGTACATTAGTTGTAACTCTTTATAATTTGATATCATACTATTTTGTAATACTACTGCTTACAATTTTCTTTTTCACATTAGCTTTTTAAACTTTTGTGAGGAAAGCTGAGTGTTTAGCTCAGTTGGCTGGGCATGGTCCCATAACGCAAAACGTCGTTGGTTTGATCCCCAGTCAGGGCATGTGCCTGGCTTGCAGGTTTGGTTCCTGGTTGAGGTGCATGCGAGAGGAAACTGATTGATGCTTCTCTCTCACATTGATGTTTCCCTCCCTCTCTCTCCCCCTTCCTTCCCCTCTCTCTAAAAATAAATACTTAAAATCTTTTAATAAAATAAAATAATAAAGCACTCCTAAACAAACAAACCTTTTGAGGAAGCAGATCACACCTGATCTTTGAGTTCCTAGAAACACAGTGTCTTCCATACAGCAAAATATCCATGAATGATTGAATTTAACTTTGAAATAGCAATGATTTATGATATTAAGTTGCCTAGGTAGCATATGGAGTTTCTTTGCCTTTTAAAGATCTAAGCTTTAAAGATAATTAAGAGAAACAGATTCAACTGAGAACATATTCTAGACCTTCATTTTAGAAGGTTCAGATCAATAGCTTTCTTTTCGCAGCCAAGAAACCTAATTGTCATGAATCAACAAAATAAGACTCTTCCTGACTTTGTGAACATATATTCTGTGGTTAGAGTATTTATGACCCAGATGTAGAATAGAATTGGAAAAAAGATACTATCAGACTGGTACTTGGATACTCTGGTTAACTATGGCTTTAGTCCTTATCTTAGTACACTTAGTAGTGTCACCAATAAAAAAAAATGATTGGCCTTTTTGGGAATTACATTTCAAAAGCTGGCCCATGTCAGGGGAGGAAATGCTGGCTTTCTGTGGTTGAGTGAGCTTAAGATCCTAGCCGAGCTAGTTGGGAGCAGAAAAGTCAAGGATAACTCTTGTTACTATTTCTTACTGTCTTCTGGCCCCCATTAATAGTCCAAGCTCCAACATCCCCTCTGCCACAGTATTGTCTGTAGTGGTATCATCACTAAGGGCTCAGGTTTCCTTAAGCACCTTCCCAAAAAGTTACTTTCTTGACCTTTCCTTTTCTTAGTCAACTGCTGCTGCTTATGTTTCATTAGAAATCGTGTTTCTGGAATACTTTACTGTTCAATCCCATCATTCTCTCCTTTATTGTCATTTTTTAAAGTTATCTACAGTCTACTTGCATTTCTTTATTCCTTAATGCTTGTGTTCTTACTTCCACTCACACCACTGTTGTATGGAAGCTGTATTCCACAAGTTTCTCTGTGTGTATCAGGCTCTTCCAGTAAATCATTTTAAGTCATTATTTAAAAGACATATATTTTGTGTTTGCTTGTTTCACCAATAACTTTTACATTTCTGTGGATATTTTCATATTTATATACAATTGCATATTTTTATTTAAACTTGCATTGTTATAATGGCTGTCTTTGAAATATTTTTATGAAATATAGCTTAAGTAAATTATATACTTATTTATATACTATAAAGCACAATAATAAAATGATCACCTGTCAGTGTACCGCCCACCTTGAGAAATAAAACCTTATACTGCTGACGCTCCTTGCGTAGACCTCTGATTACATCCTCTGCCTCCCCAGACATAGAGTTTTATGTTTATTATTTTCTGCTTTTCTTTGTAGGTTTACCTCATTTGTATCCTTAAGCAATATATTGTTCAATGTAGTTCGTTTTTAAACTTTACATACATGGTGTCATTACATTTTAAACTTTACATACATGGTGTAACATGCATTCCTTTTTCATTCAGCACTGGGAGGATGGGCGGGAGGTGAGAAGGTGGTGGTTGCGGGAGGGTCGGTTATGTTCTCTGACCAACCTCTTTGTTCTAGAAGGTTAGGGAGCATGTGTTATCTTCCTGTCCATAACACATAACATAGTGGATATTTTTGCAAGGTCGATACTCAGATGATCCTGCTGTCTCTAAAAGTACAGGAGTGTGAGGAAATCTGAGGGATCCCTATCATACCCTTTCCTTAATAGATGCTCTTAGCTGTTTTGGTGATGAATTGTTGATAAACTAGATACCTAGCCAAAAGGACATTTTTAATGTTAATTAATCCCTTTGGCAGTGATGGTATGGTCCAGAGGCTTTCTCTCCTGTCATTATAGCTTTAGACACAGAACACAGTATGGAGGGAAAGTGTAGGAAATGTTTATATATGAGCTCATTGTATAGATCTGATGCTACTAATTAAAATGTTTGGTTAAACGTGTCTATAGATAAATGGAGCAAAAATAAATGGAAAAAATTGAAAATTATAAAAACATGACTTCCAGAGAAAAATTGCTAGGTTTGCTGACTGAAAGTCAATGGATTAAAGGCACAGGGTTAGAAGAGGTGAGTCTCAAGAAATCAGAAAGTTTTACTGTTTAATATAAAACATGACTAGAATCTAAAAGCAGATTGAGGTGCTTTTGGAGTTTTACATAGGTGAACAGAAGCCTTTTCCCCCTAAAATTGTACCTTACTCAGCTCTTTAGAATTAAATGTTCATTGATGTCCATTCATCTAATAATAGTGAACCGATAGCATCAAAGGCATTGAGACAGTGGAAATAGGTGATAGAAAAAAGTCATAATCTTTAAACATATTAAAGTGGATATTTATTCAAATTGTAGTTAGTTGTTCACAGCTAAAGACCTCGTATAAATTTAATTGGATTCCTGAAGTTTTCATTTGGTGACACTTATGATCTTACCAGGACTCCCCATTTGACGTGCTCCCCTGATCTGCCCCATCTGCAAGCATCCCTGCACACGTACACACACGCACACGCATGCACACAGCATAATGGGTACATACCTAGCCTCCTCTTCTCCCTTTGTGTACTGTCTCCTCCATCCCCCAGTCGGAATTTACCAAAGCAGATGAGGAAATGAAGAACGTCATGAAATGTCAAAGACCTTTACGGAGTAAACCAAAGTACTTAGGTGTATTCTGCCAGAAACATGTTTCTATGTCCTTAGCTACATACAAAGTGGCCCTGCCTACCTGTCACCCCCCACATTGCTTGTTTCCTTTTATAAATTGATGTGCATGAGAAAGAGAAATATTTGTAAATGAAACTTCCTTCTATTTGTGATCTATATACATTAATGCAGATATAAAAGCTCTTATTTTTATTAGTTCCTTTTACAGGAACGATCCCTGATACTTAAAATAAAATGATACAAAAAGTAATCCATATAGTTAATTAAAATTTCAAAAAAAATAAAATTGTTTATTGACACCCTGTATATCTTGAACTCCCAGAATAGATATATTCAGGATAATATAATTAACTCTGTTAACAAAGGAAACAGATTAGTGGTTTCATTTTTTTTAACTGCTCACTTATTTTCTTGTTAATGAGGAAAGCTAGTGGAATTATTTGTGTTCATTTTGTTTCAGGAAAAAACTACTTTTAATGAAGTACACCATCCATTGTGAAAGTGGAAGAGTAAAGATTATTCATCATGCCTGCCGTGGCTTCAGTTCCTAAAGAACTCTACCTCAGTACTTCACTAAAAGACCTCAATAAGAAGACAGAAGTTAAACCAGAAAAAACAAGCACTAAGAAGTATGTGTCCATTGCTAGTTTAACTGTGCTGTATGTTAATTTTTAGTTCATTTCCATGTTCTTAAATGAGGTGAACAGTAAATTTAAAGTTTGTTTGAACAATGGCATCTCATAAATAAAGTAAGACCTCCTTAGAGAAGTTCTTAACTTTATCTTGGCAGAGTACATACATATTTTTCTAATATTCATATTATCTGTTTTCTGGACAATATACCAGATCATAACTTTTTAATAGGTAAAGACTAAGTTTTCCTGCAAAACTCACTCAGCCACAGTTAATATCTTTTCATAAAACAGTATACAAATACTTCTTAAAGATTTTTATCCTTATATATTTCACATAAAAGAGATGGTCTTAGCAGAGTCTTTCTTTGACAAAAAGAGGAAGAGATGTCTTTTTTAATCCAGAATTGAGCAAAATATTAATTTGAAATGAACTTTTAACCTGTTGATCTATGTAGTATAGAGTTGCAAAAAGAATTTCAGAAAGAAAGGTGGGTCTAGCCAGCCATACACCCCAGGCTTGGGGCAAGCAAATTTTAGAAATAAAGGAAAATACATGTTCCCTGGCTGGAGATGAATGGGACACTTTAAAAACTAATATGTATGATCCCAAATGAATCGACTCCTGAGCTTTTCTAGCCAATCTCCTTAGTATCTTTAGTTTGGTATACCTCAGTCCTGGGGCTTTGATGCAGTGTGAGGCAGGGCATACACACTGATGAAATGATCCTTGTGTAGGACATATTTGGTCCTAAATACCACTTTTTCCCTGTTTTTTGAGTGGTGTTCTAGATCCCTGAACTGACCAACTTCATCATTAATTAATGTCTCAATCTTGGAGCACAGTTTGAAAGATACAGAAAACAAAATGCACTGCTTTGTATAAATAAATTATTGATATAGCATATTGTATGTAGACATTGGCACAATAACTTGGTTGCCAAAATGTTAGTCCTAAATGAATGAATTGCTCTTGGCAGAAATACCTATTTTATTTTTATTAATTTGCTTTGTCTAACCAGGAAAATGTCCTTAGAGGGAATGGCACAGAATCCTCAGATTCTTATACTGAACTGAAATTTTAAGATCATATATTTTTGGACCTTAAGTCTCTTTCTTCTAGGACCAGTGAATCAAAGTGCAGTTTAGCCATGTTGTAGAAAACCTTAACCAGATAAAATGATTGAACTCCTGTCCCCTTTCCTTTCCCTAATTTCTTGGATTTTTAGGTGGGGAGAACTTTACATTATGGTTAGAAAGAAATGAGGAGAATGGAAAATATTTGTTTTAACATCAAAGTAGTAAAGATTTTAGCTCCCCCACGTCAATACAAATGATATATATTCTTTAATTATAGAGTGTGACTATTATGTGGCTGCCTGAGGACCACTTGCCTCAGAATTATCTGTTGTAGCAAGTCTTTTAAAACTTGACTCAGAATGCATTCGGAACAGTTTGTGGTATATAAACTGCTTTTATGAAACACAAGTATTTACTTGAACCATACGGGAAATTTTCAGGTTATATCCCAACTTTCAGCTAACTTTGTATCACTTCTGAAATAGTACTGCCTAAATTATAAAATTTAGTTTATCAACATTCTCTATAAACTTTAGATATGATTTTCCCCCCAGATGTTGTGTTTTATTTTTTTCTCTAATTTTAAGTTATGTACAGAGTGCCCTGAAGATCTTCAAGACAGCAGAAGAAAGCAGATCAGATCGTGATGAGGAAAGGGCCTATGTACTATATATGAAATATGTGACTGTTTATAATCTTATCAAAAAAAGGCCTGATTTCAAGGAACAGCAGGTACCTTTTATTTATGCATTTTTATTTGCTAAGTTATTTTTGCACAATGGAATTATATCCTCTAGAAGTTTTAACTCTACTATAATTTAGATAACATTTTGTAGCATCAAGTTCAAACTCCTATGCATATAGAAAAAGCAAACCGAAGATTTCATTTCATTATTTGCAAACGTGTGTACATATGTGGATACACACACACTATATACACATTCTAATTTGCCTTGGAGTAGTACAAGTTTATAGCAACATACAGACTCATGATCAGTTTCTGTTATGATAAATCATTGCCAGGTCAAATAGACATACTTGTTTTATTTATGCATTAAATTAAGAAAATGGCTGTTAATTGCACTTTTTCAGGATTCGAGGTTTAGTCACTTTTTTTAATGTTGTGAAAAGCTTTAAGGTTATTTTTTACTGAATTTATTGGAGTGACACTAGCTAACAAAATTATATAGGTTTCAGGTGCACAGTTCTATAACAGATCATCTGTACACTGTGTTGTGTGTTCCCCAGCCCAGCAAGGCTCCATCTTCATTATTTTGCCCCCCCATAAGCTCCTCCACCTCTCTCCACCCCTCTATCCCCTTGGCAGTTACCACACTGTTGTCCATGTCCATGAGTTCTCACTCTCTTTTTTTTTTTTTTTCCTTTCTTGCTCAATTTCTTTACCCCTACGCCCTGACAGCTCTCTGCCTGCTCTGTATCTATGAGTCTATCACTATTTAGCTTGCTGTTTCATTTTGTTCATTAGATTTTATGTAAGAGTGAAATCATATGGTACTTGTTTTTCTCTTACTGGCTCATTTCACTTAGCATATTGTTCTCCAGGTCCTTCCATGCTGTTGCAAAGGGTAAGAGTTCCTTCTTTTTTTTTTATAGCCAAGTAGTAGTCCGTTACGTACTGTAGCTTTTTTTATCCATCATCCACTGATGGGCACTTGGGCTGCTTCCACATCTCAGTTATTGTAAATAATACTATAATGGACATAGGGGTGTGTATATCCAACACCCCTTTATGATAAAAACTCTCAGCAAAATGGCAATTTAGGGAACATACCTCAACTAATAAAGGCCATATATGACAAATGCACAGCCATCATCATACTCAATGGGCAAACACTACAAGCATTTCCCTTAAGATTGGGAATAAGAAAAGATGTCCGTTTTCACCAGTCTTACACAACACATGCTGGAAGTCCTAACCATAGCCATCAGACAAGAAAAATAAAAAGGTATCCAAATTGGAAAGGAAGAAGTAAAACTGTCATTATTTGCAGGTGACATGATACTGTACATAGAGAACCCTAAAGATTCCACCAAGAAACTACTAAAACTAATAAATGAATTCAGTAATGTAGCAGGATACAAAATATCCAGAATTCAGTTGCATTTTTATTTTTTAAAAACATTTTATTTGCAGAGAGAGGGAAAGGTAGGACTGAAGGAGAAAAACATCAGTCAGTTGCCTCTTGCGTGCCCCCAACTGGGGACCTGGCCTGCAACCCAGGCATGTGCCCTGACAGGGAACCGAACCTCCAACCTTTCAGTTCTCAGGCCACTGCTTAATCCAGTGAGCCACACCAACCAGGGCAGCATTTTTATACATTGATAATGAAGAAAGGGAAACTAAGAAAATAGTCCCAGTTCCAGTTGCTTTAAAGAGAATAAAATACCTAGGAATAAATTTAACCAAGGATATAAAAGACCTATACTTGGAAAATTCTAAGACACTAAAGAAAGAAATTGAAGAAGATACAAATAAGTGGTAGCATATACCATGTTCATGGATGGGAAGAATTAACATCATTAAAATGCAACCTATAGATTTAAGCAACTCCTATCAAGATACCAATGACATATTTCACAGACCTAGAACAAATACTTCAAAAATGTATATGGAACCACAGGAGACCCCAAATAGCAAGAGCAGTCAAGAAAAAAAGAACAAAGTTAGAGGAATCACCCTACCTGACATCAAACTATATTGCAAAGCCATAGTAATCAAAACAGCATGGTACTGGCATAGAAACAGACTTATAGATCAGTGGAACAGAATAGTTGAGCTCAGAAATAAACCCACGCCTTTATGGTCAATTAATATTTGACAAAAGAGGCAAAAACATCCAATAAGGTAAAGATAGTCTATTCACTAAATGGTGTTGGGAAAATTGGACAGGTAAATGCCAAAAGAAAAGAAAAGAAAAAAAAGGAAAAGAAACTAGACCACCTTCTTACACCATACACAAAAATAAACTCAAAATGGATTAAAGACAAACGGTAGACTCAAAACCTTAAAAATATTAGAAGACAATATAAGCAGTAAAATCTCGCACATTTCTTGTAGGAATATTTTTTTCTGATATACCTCCTCAGGCAAGAGAAACAAAAGAAAAAATAAACAAATGGGACTACATCAAACTAAAAGTTTTTGTACAGCAAAGGAAACCATCAACAAAATGGAAAGACAACCCACTGAATGGGAGAACATGTTGGCCAATGATATATCAGATAAGGGGTTAATTTTCAAAATATATAAAAAACTTAAACAACTCAACACCAAAAAAAACAAACAATCCTATTTAAAAATCGACAGTGGATCTGAATAGACACTTCTCCAAAGAGGGCACATAGATGGCCATAAGTATATGAAAGGATGCTCAGTGTCACTAATTATCAGGGAAATGCAACTTAAAACCAAAATGAGATATCACCTCACACCTATCAGAATGGCTGCCCATCAATAAATCAACACAAAGCAAGTGCTGGTAAGAGAGTGGAGAAAAGGGAACCTTCATGGCACTATTGGTCGGAATGCAGATTGGTGCAGCCACTGTGGAAAACAATATAGTTACTTAAAAAAATTAAAAATGGAACTTCTACTTCTTATGATGCAGCGATTCCACTTCTGGGAATTTATCTGTATTTACTAACTATGTGACAGTTTTTAATAATCACTGACATTGTAGCCATAGTAAAAATATCAGTTTGCAAAAGTAATGCTGATTGCTTCCATTTTTTAAATTATTTTGCTTTTAATCATTTCATTAGGTGCCTTTCTTTCACTTTGCTGAAGCCATGAGTAGGGAAGGAGGGGTGTAAATGAAAAAGGAGAACTGATGACTAACTAATAAGTGTTGCAGGGGGAAATGGTTGCATTTCAACTGCACCAGAAACAGGCAAAAGAAGAACATGGAGACTAGGTTAAAGAAATGCAAAGATTTTTGTGTTGGCAGTTCCGCCTCTTCTTAGGAACGATCTTGCCTGCTACCAGACAATAAATAGTAGCAAAATACTGCCTGCAGATATCTTATCTGGTAGAGAAGCTGCTCTTGAATTAATATTGAGAGTTTTATTTTGTTCACTGGTGGTAGACTATCCTTGCCTCATTTAAATTGACATATAGAAGTTAAAAAAAAGTTATCTGATTCTTTGAAATAGCCTTATTGTTTTTCCATAGTTGTGGGATTGATAAAATTTCTTTTGGTTGTTGGTTAAGGGATGATTTGAATTTCATTTAATGGTGATAAAACATTCCTAATGTTCTTTCTTATAGTAATGTAATGCTAGTAATAGCATGGAGTGTTAGATCTAGTTTTGGAAAGGTGGCACCTTGCATCTAGAGGTTCATCCTTCTGTCCACAAATGGCTGGATTGATCCTGTCCTTGGAACGCCTCTTCGGCATACTTAACTGCAGATAGAGGCAGAGGCCTGTCCAAATTTAAACAAGTTTTTGCATGCTCTTTGATGATTTTCACAGTATCTCGTAAAGTGGAATTGCTTTAAAAAAGTATAAAAGCATTTCCTAAAGGAAATATTTTTTAAAAATTCGCAGATTTGGATAACTGATAGTTTTGGTGTTTGCTGTTTTGTCTCTTGTAAATTTTTTGGTACTTTTTCGTTGTTTGCTTTATTTTTTTAAGTTAGTTTTTTTTTTTCTTTGACAAGGTTGGGAGTGTTTTTGTAGCTTCCATTTTTTTTTCTAAACCTGATAAAGTTGGGAGTAAATTATAATCAACAAGAGATTTTTTCCGCTTCCACAGACTATCCATTGCATTTCCAAAGGGATTATCTAGTTGAAAGTGGCAGGAGTTGTTCATATTAGGAAACTCCCTATTACTTCATATGCTGCAGTTGTTCAGTTCCTGGTTTTCGGTAAAAGGACTAATTTTACTTGCTCCAGGGTACCACATCTGCTTTTTAGAACTGTTTTTGTTTTGTTTTATTTAGCTCAACCTTCCCAGTGTACTTCAAATGCGTAAAGTGTTAAATTTACTAACTAAATATTTTTTGAGTTTTACCATTTAAAGCAAGTAGGAACAGAATGTAGTATCATCAGTCTTCTTCAGAAACTTTATCTTTTACTCTATTTTACACTAACGAATATTTAAGATTTAGACAAAACTTTTGTTAATTTAGCAAGCTCACTAGTAGAGAACATTTCTTACTTATTGAAAAAAATCAGTTTATGGATAACTTTTTTAGGGTTATCTGGAAAGTCAGGAAGGCAGATATATTGAAAGTATTAGTATAGCCAAGTCTAGATAATATTAGAATTATATGTTTTAATATAGCAAGGACTCATGGACAAAACCAAAGGGGAAGAGCTGAGGGAGGGAAGGTGGGAGGGGGCAAGGGAAAGAGGTGGGGGGAAGGCAGAGACAAATGTATTTAAAAAGTAAATAAATTAATTAAAAAATAAAAATAAATTTAAAAAAAGAAAAAAAAGAGAATGAGTTCGATAAGACTGCTTTTTTTGGTGAAGGAAAGTTTGGTAAAAAAAAAAAAGAATTATATGTTTTAGTCTTTTTTTTTGATCTTATTTATTTATTTTTAGAAGGGAAAGGAGGGAGAAATGGGGAGGGAAACATCAATATGTGCATGAAACATCAGTTAGTTTACTCTCGCTTGAGCCCCAACTGGGAACTGGGCCCACAACCCAGGCATGTGCCCTGACGAGGAATGAAACCAGTGACCTTACACTTTGCTGACCTTTGCCAAATCAACTGAGCCACACTGGTCAGGTCTAGAATGATAATTTTTTATTTTGGTGACATTCTTTTTTTTTTTTTTAATACTCACCCAAGGTTATGTTTATTGATTTTAGAAAGGGAGGGAATGAGGGGAAGAAAGAGAGGGAGAGAGGACGGAGAGGAAGGAAGGAAAGGAGGGGAGGGAGGAGGGAGGAAAAAAGGAAAAAATAGATGTGAGGCAGAGAAAATGCACCCTGTTTTGAGAATTGAACCTGCAACTTAGGCATATGCCCTGACCAGGAATGGAACCCTCAGCCTTTTGGTGTACAGGGTGATGTCCACCCACCCAAGGCTAAATCTTCATGGCATTCTTCTTTTTTTTTATTTTTTTAAACTTATTTTTAGAGAATGGGGAGGGAGGGAGAAAAAGAAAAGGAGAGAAACATGGATGTGAGAGAGAGACATTGTTTTGTTTCCTCACACATGCACCCCAGCAGGGAACCAAACCCTCAACCTAGGCATGTGCCATGATGGGAATTGAACCAGCAACCCTTCGCATTGTGGGGTGACGTCCGACCAACTGAGCCACAAGGGTCCAGGGTCTCCGTGGCATTCTTGATAATTAATCCTAAATATTACTGGTAAACATTTTTGTTTGGGAGGTCATGAGAGTTGCTTGAATCTTAATGTTCAGGAATAGGAAAGTTCTGTTTGGTAAACCTGAGAAACAAATGTTTTTAGTTTAGGTGTATAAGAATTGGATGTTGGTTTTTAAATTATGCCAATTGTCAATGCTATTGAAAAATTTAAAAAAAAAACCTTTACAAAAAAAGTTTATTGATTGATACCAGAGAGAGAGAGAAAGAATGGGATTCGGGAGAGAAACATCAATATTGGAACAACATCAATCAGTGGTCTCACATACGCTAAACGTGCAACTTAGGCATGTGCCCTGACTGGAATTAAACTCATCACATTTCAGTTTATGGGATGACATTCCAACCAACTGAGCCACACCAGCCAGGACTACGATTGAAAATCTGAAAATATTTATATGTACTTTAACTGTTCTTCCGTAGGAGTACAGAGAGAGATGATTATTGACAAGAGGCCTCCTTAATATTAAGGGAGTGTCATTTGAGGGTTTGTAATATGCATAGCCACACACACAATTTTTTTCAGCATTTAAACGTGGTTAAGCTGAGCTTATAGGCTGGCTTTTCAGTGAGTTTATGTCAAAAAATTAATAAAACAAGTTATAGTATTTTTTGGTTTTAATTTCTTTATTGTTTTTATCAGAGAAACCTTATTGTAATGACTAGATTTTATTTTTCATTTAAAAAGCATTTTATCTGTCATCAGGACCGATAGTAATTAGTTTCCACTGTAATTTTCAGTTGACACAATATTGAACAAACTGTATATACTTTCATTGAAATTACATGGCGAAATGCCCTTTTCTTAAATTTAGTCTTTAATCTAGAAGAATAAACTCAACCAAAACATGGTCTACTTTTAGGCTAGACAGACACATGATAGCTGTTTTCCAATAGCTCTTGGTGGCTGTCTCTCCATGAGGCAAAGATGGATATTTTTGACCTTTTGGTCTTTCTTTTTTAAATTTTAATTAATATGTCATTTGAGATGAATTTGTGCTAGTAGGTTCTGTTTGCAAAATCATACAAGTTGTGGCAAATCAGATCCAGTAAGTACTTAGCCCAATCGCACTGCACTACTGTCATTTTGAACTAACCTTGATTTAAAAATCTCTCTCTGATTGCCGGAGCATATGAGTGACCTCCTAGAGAAGTGATTTTTTTTTAAAACTTCATTATGCTTATTGTTAAGTTATGTGCCAAAATTTTTAAAGGTAAATTATATTATTGGTTGGTTGTTTTCTATCATTTGATTTTTAGTTATTCAAGGTTTCCTCAAATGTAAAACTTGTTTTATTTCTAAATTGTTTGAAGGTAGGTAATTATTGTAAAATACAGGTAGAAGCAAAAACATTTCATTTTAACACAAAAGAAAACAAATCCCATGCTGTAGATTGATACACAATTTGTTTCAGTGCTACTGAGTCTGGAGAAAAATAAAACTAGGTAACCTATTTACAATAGCAAAGTATATTCTCTTGAAAGCTTAGCTTTTTGGCACTTAATTATAAACAAAAAATAATATTTACGCTTCTTAAAAGGTTTCTTTCAAATAAGTAAAACTATTACTGACTGGAATATTTTTTACCATACTAATGGTATGATGAAATAGTTTTGAAACATGTAGAGAATAAGCTGTGATTTATGTAGGTTAAAGTTTTTAAAAATGCTTTATTCACTCAATAATATTTTCATCTCCAGTGGTGTCCAACCTGTGACCTTCAGGCCACATGCAGCCCAGGATGGCTATGAATGCAGCCCAACACAACATTGTATATTAACTTAAAACATTATGAGATTTTTTTGTGATTATGTGTTGCAGTGTATTTAATGTGTGGCCCAAGACAACTGTTCTTCTTCCAGTGTGGCTCAGAGATGCCAAAAAGTTGGACATCTCTGAAACTTTCCCGTTTTAAACATCATGATTTTAATGTCTTTAACATTAGAGCTGTGTGCAATAGCCAGTAATAACAGTATAGGATGGTTTTCCGGTTATTTTAGGACTACATTCATTCAATACTTGGACCTGCAAACATCAAAAAAGCTATTGAAGAAGCTGAAAGACTTTCTGAAAGCCTTAAACTCAGGTACAGACATTATTATTTTCCTATCTTTAAAAGAATGAAAACTTAGAAAATAAAAATAATATTTAGAATTTTTCTATTTATGTTGGTCATGCCTAAAAATCCAAATTCCTAAAAATACGTCGTGTTTTAATGGGACACAAGAATTAAAATCTTTTGCTATATATCAGTTATATTATGTTCATGTGTTACCATTAATATTCTTTATTGAAGTTTTAAAAATGCTTAGAATGATAGATTATTAAGGTAAGCATTGATGTATTAGTTTAGCACTCAGTTCCCATGTTTTTCCTGTTTCTAACAGGATTCTTCAGAAAAATATATTTCCTCCTGTGCCCCATGTTGTAATGTGCTACTGGACACTGGTCTTATGGGTATAAAGTATTCGGTATAGTTTTGATCTCCCTGGTTGTAGCAGTTATATATATGTTTCAAAAAAAATCTGATTCTAGTATTTGCCATGACTGGTTTGTCAGACTTATAATTAGAAATTAAAAGTGATATGTTTTAATTTCTAGTCATTCCCTAATAATAAAATAAAAAGGGGAACTATTTTTAGTCAATATTTTTAATGCTTTTCATACTTGGACCAATTAACTATTATAGTTATATACATCATCGCCTTTACTTAGAAATTATCTTTTTCACTACTGTATTCCCTTCATCCTTTCTAGAAATTACTACTCTTGGGTCTGGAATATGTTAAGGTGCATGATATCACTTAAGAATCACTATTCTGTTTCTCCTTTAGCCAGTTAATTAAAGTGGAATTTCCCCTAATCTTTGGGGTTTTATTTTTGTTTTTTTTAATAAGTGAGATTTTATTGGTTGTTTCGAGGATAAGTACACAGACGTTTCAATTTGTACACAATTCTTAACATACATACTAAAAATGTAAAGTCATGTAGTTGTGATTCTTTTCCGAAGTTATTCCAGTGACTTTCCAGCTTAAAGTTTGGGGACTAATTTTCCTAATAGAGTATCAAGTACCAATACCTGCAAATGTTGATACACTGTTACATCAAAGTCTGACCAATTCACAATTTAATATCATATATACTACATATTCAAATTTTCAGTCTTTCACAGCGCATTAACAAAGTTACTAGGAAAACTGGACTACCACAACATAAATGTTACAGAGAGGGCACAAAATTCTGACAGGAGAGCCACGATCAAGGGGTGCTTTTCTTTAGGAAACAATTCTACCAAAAACATGAGAATAGAAGTAATTTAAAATGTTCCAGACTGATTCCAAATTGCCGTTTAATACGCTTTGTATTATAGGATATAAAAACTACCCCCATTTGTGTTTGCTTAGTTTTTCCCTAATCATACTGGATCAATAATCATGTTCTTTATGTTCTCTGTCTTTTGAGCTTTCGGTGCTTTCACTTATCTGTTGTCTGTCCTTTTTAATATCTTGAATGACTTTGTAAGCGAATGGGGCTTATAGTTAATGTTAAGCTGACGCCCAAGACAATCAAAGCCTTCCATATTCAATATTCCACTATTTTCTGGTTGTACCAAAAAATAAACCACCAGCAAATGATCTCACCTCTTAAAAAAAATCGTTTACACTTTAAAAAAACATGGGATGAGGTGGAATTCCCTCCTTCTTAAAAATGTTTTTAGATTTACTAAAAAAGTTGCATTTACAAAATAGTTAATAAAAATATTCCTCTGGATTGTACAAGAAGGGAGACAGGGACCACTGGTAAGACATGTATATGCTGTTAATCAGACTTGGCTTCTTTTTTTCCTGCTTCATCCGAGGCTAGACTCTCCTCGTGTTCAGTTTCTGTGTTTTCCGCAGGTACAAGAACTTCCTTAGGTTCTTGGTTAGCCACTTCAGCCTGTTTACCGTTTGCTCCCCTTTTCCCTTGTATTTGCACTCTGTTGGTCTGCAGATTTATCCTTTCCTGCCGCCTTTTTTGGCTTGGTTTCCACTTTCGCAGGAGCAGGTTTAGCTGACTACCCCCTCCATCTCCTCTTGGGCTCCTCCTCCTCCGCCCTCTCTGCGAGCCGACCTTCCTCTCACGCCTCGTGGCGGCGGGGCGGGCGCGCGTCGGGTGCCTGAGGGCCCCGGCGCCGGGGAACCTGTGCAAACCCGGACCGCCTGGCCGCTACCGTTTCTCCCGCCGCCCAAACTGCCGCCCAGACTGCTCGGCCCGCGATGGGGGTGGTGGGAGAATCCAGAATTTCCCCATGTCTTCGGATTACCCAATATTAACTTTTCTCTTGGATTTACCTAGTTTTTCCCTAATCATACTGCATCAATAATCATGTTCTTTATGTTCTCTGTCTTTTGAGCTTTAGGTGCTTTCACTTACCTGTTGTCTGTACTTTTTAATATCTTGAATGACTTTATAAGCGAATGGGGCTTATAGTTAATTTTAAGATTTTAGGATTGTAAGCCCTTTCAAAAGGAAATTGCAGCAGAATTTGAATCATTAAAAGGTGGAGATTAGTGGGAGGGAAAGCAACAAGAGCATTAAACAACTTCAACTTGGGAGCATAGAGGGGTTTTTTTCCCTAAAGGTACTTGGGCAATTTGAAATAAATCTATAGAGGGTAGGTGTACAGGTTGTGGCTTGTAATGAACAATGGCAGCACTGAATTTCAACTGGAGGGAGAAAGTATGTACCCAAGCAGCGTACTAGTGTTAGTGTAACTGGAACTCCTTTACTTTTCATGATCATTGCAATAAAAGACATCTTGACTTCTTTTTTCAACTAGATATGAAGAAGCCAAAATTCGGAAAAAACTTGAAGAAAAGGACAGACAAGAGGAAGAGCAACTGCAGAGACAGAAAAGACAGGAAGCAGGAAGAGAGGATGGTGGCACGTCAGCTAAGAGTTCTTTGGAAAATGTATTGGATTCCAAAGACAAAACCCAAAAGGTATTTCAAATATATTCTGTGAAATAAAAAGATTCTTCTCAGATTACTTACTTAAGAAGAGTTGAGATATCACTACAACGTTCTTATACGCAAAAAGGGTAAATTTGATGTCTTTTTATAAGAAATGGAATTAAATGAAGTTCTAGCTTCAGTTGGTCCTGTTACAAGTTTTTGGTTTGTGGTTACCGTGAGATTCATATGGAACAAGCTATGTTTATTGCAGTCTCTTTTAAATTGATACTCGCTTACAACTACTTTTAAAAGCTCTTTTATAAAAATGTTAATGAAGGCTATTCAAGATTATTGTAATATGAGTGAGAGATTGAACTCAACAGTGCTGAAACAAAATGAGGGAGGATTTTTAAATGCTAATTAGCTTAGTGGAAAAGTATTGGAGTATGTTAGTGTGGGAGGTTGGTCAGTGTGACAGGTCATCTGTGTGTGCTAATTTTCAGTTATGGAAATTAGGCTCCTACCCTCCCAGAGACTGGAGATAGGGGTCCTACATTAAAAAAAAATTTTTTTTTCATTGAGGTAAAATACACATAGCATAAAATTTAACCCCTTAACCATTTTTTAAGTACACAGTTCAGTGGTATTGAGTACAGTCACATTGTTGTGCAATCATCATCACTGTCCACCTCCAAAACTGCCTTTATCTTGCATAACAGAAACTCTGTGTCCATTAAACAATAATTCCCCAATCACACCCCTCCACCCCCACCACACCCAGCTCCTAACATCCACCATGCTATTTTCTGGTTCTGTGCATTTGACTACTCTAAATAACTCATGTAAGTGGAATCATATACTATTTGGAAAGCCCTACATTTTTCCTAACTCCCTACATTTATGTTTTGGACATATTTTACACCTTTTACGTGAGTTGAGAGTGTGTGCCTGTATTCCTTAATTATTATGGTTACACATGATCTCATTACTCTGTCTTTTAACCTTTATACTAGCTTTATACTTGGTTGATCCACTGCTTTTATCAATTTTTTTCTTTTCAAGAATTTTTTATTTTTACTATTTACTATTGGCCATTTCTTTGCTGCTTAAAGAAGTCCCTTTAACATTTCTTTTATTACTGGTTTAATGGTGTTGAACCCTTTAGTTTTTGCTTGTCTTGGAAACTATCTCTTCTTCAATCCTGAATGGTAACCTTGCTAGGTAGAGTATTCCTAGCATTTGATTTTAGGTTTTCCCTTTCGTCACTTTGAATATTTCATGCTAGGGAATAGCCAAATTTTTATTTCATTGTAAGAAATAATCTTTCATTAATCTAAATAATAAATTTCTATAACAGTCTGTGCTTTTAAATTATATTTAGCCAATAACTGAAGAAAATTTTTAAGAAATGTCATAGGATTCAGATATGTTGCTACTTATTTTAGCTGTTAACTACTGCCAGAGTAACCTGGTGATGCCATTACTGTCTGTATCTTATAAAATGCCAGTGTTCTAAGCCCTTCATTTTCTAGGCTTTTGGTTTCAGTGAAGTATTAAAGTTGAACTTTCTGTTTTTATGAAAATTTTTGTTTTCTATTAAAGTTGAAGCTTTTTTTCTATGAAATAGGTAAATGGTGAAAAGAATGAAAAAAATGAGACCACAGAAAAAGGTAAGTGTGCAAAGAAGGAGGGAGTTTTTTAGGTTATTACTCAGATCTTCTTTAAACAGAATAGCTTCAGATTTTATACAGTGAGATTCTAACATTGGTGTCTAAGCTGTATGGAAGCTATGTCCTTTCTCCCAGCTTGTACAAATTCACTGAAAATGTATTGCATTTGGAATTTCTATATCATGGGCTATATTTATGATAATATGCAATTGAAAACATCAGAACCATAGTTTATATTTGTCATTGTTTTATTGTCAGGATAGTTTAGCAGAGTGGTTAAGAGCGTGGACTCTCAGAAGTGAGACTGCCTATGTTTGAACTTTGGCTCCTCTTCTGAATTTCCATGTGATCTTGAGCATGTTACTTAATCCCTTTAATTTCCCCTTTTTACAGTGGGGATAATCATAGTACCTAGTTCATAGGATTATTGTGAGGATTGAATAATTTATATATGTGAAACTCATAGAACACATAGTAAACTTTATGTGTGTATTAGCTATTACTTCTTAAGACTCTAGGTTAAAGACTTACTTATTTAAAAGTTGTCTTACTCCCTTAAAAAATCTAAGTCAGTAATTTTTTATATTGTCCGCAGGTGGTATGGATGCTCTAGTAACACATATATGACCTAAAGAACAAAACTTAGGCAGTTACCTAAGTTTTCCTCTCAGAAAAGGTTTAATTTAAACATTGTTTGTAACACTAATATAAATTCTTTAAAATATTGGCATACAACAATAAAAAAAACTTGGCAAGGTATCTTCCTAAAAGCTGTTATCATTTCATTCTCAGATTTGTTTTTATCCATATGTTCCTTTGTATCTCATCCTGCTTCAGTATTACCCATCTTGGTGGTCTTTTCTCAGCCTTCTTAGATTATTTTATTGTCAAAATGATCTTGATAGTTAGAAAGGGAAGTAGGATGGTTATTAGTAGCTGGATATTTGTACTTAGGAGATACTGTGACTATGTTCTTCTTATAACTCACTGCCGAAGAAATAGTTCTTTACATATTAAGCTCCCTTGGAGTGCTTTTTGATCTTTTACTTTAGGTTGTGGAAGCTAAAAGAGAAAAACAGCAACATAGTGACTGTTTATTTTGGCAAAAAATTAAAGGGCTAGATAGTAAATATTTCAGGCTTGGGGCGACCCTGTGGTCTTTGCTGCTGTAGCATGAAAGCAGCCATAGACAATATGTAAACAAATGGGCACAGCTGTGTTCCAGTAGAAACAGGAGGCCATGGTTTACCAGCCCCTCTCGTGGAACACAAATAACAGCTTTTGGCTTGTGACTCCAGGCATACTTGAAAATCTAAAATAGTCCCCATAAAACCCCATTAGAGACTTTAAAAAGAGAATTTAGACCCTTTCAAAAATTTTTGAGCCATTGATGTTTCTTCTGGTTGACATTTTTTTAAATGGTTTAATTTTTTTAATCTTCACCCAAGGGTATGTTTATTGATTTTAGAGAGAGGGGCAGGGAGAGAGAGAGAAGCATACCCATACGTGCCCTGCCCGGGGATCAAACCTACAACCTAGGTATGTGCCCTGACGAAGAATGGAACTACAGCCTTTTGGCGTATGGGACAATGCTCCAACCAACTGAGCCACCTAACCAGGGCTGAAATGGCTTAATTTTCAAAAATAGAGTATTTTCATGTGATACATTAATTTCCTCTATTTTATACCAGAAACAGAGCCAAGACTAGAAGTAATTATAAACTCAGCAGCAAGTTTTGGTATTTAAGTCTTCATTAACAGAACATTGACTTAGTTTCTTGATAAATGTCAAAAACACATTATATTTAATGTTAGTTTAAAAGGTAATAAATAGTACGATGGAATAGTGGGTATGTGACAAGTACACTTCACTCTTCAAGAAAAAAAATGCTTTTCTGTATTTAGTGCTATGACAGAACTGGATGTTGCTTGTCACTAATATTATATCTCTCTCTATTCCAAGGATCAATTACAGCAAAGGAGCTATACACGATGATGATGGATGAAAACATCAGCTTGATTATAATGGATGCTCGAAGAATGCAAGATTATCAGGATTCCCATATTTCAAATTCTCACAGTGTTCCTGAGGAAGCCATCAGTCCAGGGTGGGTCATTATGTATTTAGATAAAATATGTAATAGTAAGCTGTGGATAGTAATAAATGTTAATAATTAGCATCCAATCAAAATGACAAAATAGTGTTTTCTTTCCCATTGAACTTTTCAATTTTTGCTCCTAATGGCATACTTCACCCTTTCTGAATAGTAGTGTAAAAGACATTCCAGTCTGGGTATTTTCTCCTATCTGTGGCATTTGAAGTCTAATTAGAAGAAAAACTAAGCTGCTTCTTCCTAGGTATTTGCTAACTGTTTTCTTGTGCTATTTTTTATGTGTGAGCTTTTGAAGCATACGTACCAAATGGACTAAAGTTGTGAACTAACTGAATGGTTTTTTAATTTGAAATTTCCCATACTATTATTTGTGATAAAAGAATACACAAACACTTTTTTGAAGAAGAAGAAGCAGTATAGCTAAGTGAATAAGAGTGTAGGGTGTAAAGTCAGAAGCCCATGTTTCCATTTGTAAAATGGGGGTGGTAATAGTTCCTATCTCAGATGTTTTGAGAAGTTTAAATGAGAAATTTTATACACACACATTTAGCACAGTTCCTGGCATTTATAAGGACTTAATAAAAAATAAATTTTTCTTTCTTTTTTGATAAGAAGGTTTTTAACCTATAAAATTAAAAGTTACATATATAGATATATTATATATTAGAAACTATCACAAAACGACAGTGAAAACTCCATATCCAGGGCTATTTTCACTATTTTGAGTGTAATATAACCTTTCTTGGTCTAAGTATATGGGATTGGATTAGGTAAAATATGTGGTCCATATTAGGACTAACTTAAGAAGATAACATTATTTAAGTTAGGTAATAAAATTTGTATAATATTGGGTACCTTACAGGTGTTGACTAAATTTTGCCCTGAAAAATACCATGCATTGTAAATATGCTATCTATCTGTGTATCAGTGTAGCTATTTAGTTATCTGATTTTTTAAATTGGATATTTTAGGTTGATGATTACTTTTTTACAAAACGTGGTGGCCTCTGCCATTCCCTCTCTCATTCCTCAACCCTGAACAACTAAACAGATTAGGAAATAGTACACTATTTAAATATGAGATTCAAGTGCTTAGTCTAATCAAGTAGACCTGAATATATTCCCAGTTTAATTGTTTCCCAAAATGTGAGATTTAGACTGTTGTGAAACTCAAGGTGAGTTTAGGTTGAAGACTAAGAACTATGAATTGCATACCAAGAAAAGTATTCCCCTTTAATTTATCTTTCAGTCCTTCCGATTTAGTTAAAAGAAATTCAGTTTGGTGCTAGTATTCCTTTTTAATACTTGCTAATCTCTCTTTCTTACCAAAAAGCAGGCCTCAGAGCTTTTTGTAGGCAGCAGTGTCTGCAGCTAGGTAATGGTGATTACCCTATTTTTTCATTGTCTATTTTTACCTTTTAAAACAGCGTAGTATTCAAATGATAAAAAGCTTATGTAATTATTTAGCCCATTGAATTTTCAAAAACTGAATGCATCCATTTAGTTAGTATCTGATCACCAAGAAACATCATCATCATCATCATTGCAAAAGTCCCTCATATGCCACCTGTCAGTTACCACCCATATCCCTACCCACCCAGGGAACCACCAACTTCTTAACAGAATAGATTTGTCTTTGTCTGTTTTTGTAGTTTATATAAATGAAATCATACAATCTATAGTCTTTTGTGTCTGGCTTTTTGTAGTCAACCTAATGTTTGTGAGAGTCATCTGTATTATTGTGTGCACTTGTAGTTTGTTTATTCTTACTGCTATATGGTAATCTATTAGGTGAATATAGCATTACTTATTGATCTATTTTATTTATAGGATTATCCTTTATTTATTGGATATGATGCTGTTTTTTCATGTATATGGGAATAAGCATTTTCCTGTTAAATTTATTTAAGTAAAGGATCACTTTCAATTAAATTAATTAAAATAAGTAATAGTCAAAGTAGAGCAAAGTTGCAGCAGTATGTGAAGATAATACACGAAAGAGTGAACTTTGGGAAATACTGGTTGATACTATTGTTTTCCAAAGTGTTTTCTACGGAATACTAATCTTGGGTTTCTAGATAAAGAGTATTTAGTCAAATATATCCTTGCAGTCAGGAATAGTCCTTAAGAATGTCACATTTCAATTTTTCTCATTCTTTGTTGACTAAGCATGCTTCTGATCTCAATATATCAGATGAGAATTATTATGAGGCAATATTTTATATTCTTTTTGTCTATGTATTCTAACAGTTACAGTAAACATTATTATGTACAGGATTTTTTAAAAAACCATTTAGTTTTACTTATGAATAAAAGTACATAGTGCTGAGGACTTTGAGATAATAGGATTTGGGGGAGGAGCTATGTGGCAGGCCTACTGTAAGGACTTTAGGAAGAACTTCAGCATTTCTGGGAGCAAAAGAGGAAGTGAACAGCATGCTTTAATGTATAGTTGATAATATTCACAGTTGATGATGTAAGAGCCAACACACCAAAGCAGCTAAGACTGTGGACATGAACCAGATTGCCTGAGTTTGAATTCTGGCTTCATTTGGCAGCTATAACCTTGGGCAGGTTACTTAATCTCTTTGTGCCTCAGTTTCCCCATCTATAAAATGGGGATAACAATGCCTACTTTATAGTATTGCTGTGAGGAGTCAATGAGATGCATAATAAAGCATTTAGAATAGTTCTGGCACATAGTAAATGCTATATGTGTGTTAAGTAAATATTTAAGTATTTGATTAACTGTTAATTATCAGTATAGGTAAAGGAGAACTGAAATATAAACAATGTTACCCAGGTGTGATGCCCCAGTTGTTTATACTTGGCTGAGAGAGATGCCCAGATGAGTTCCTCTGTTTTCAGATTTGGTCCCTGGTTTTGCAAAGGGTCAAAATTGTGTCTACTTCTTTTAGTCTCTAATACTAAAATATATTCCAATATTATGCAGTTGTTAAATATTTTAAGATATTTAGTATCTTTACACACAGTCTGACCTTAGAAAGGAATTTATCTGTCTTAAAGTTTGCTATGGTGTGCTACAGACTATAGAACAAAATTCAGTCTTATGTTAGTATATTAGGACCTCTTATCTACTTTTGCCCCAATACAAATGTTAATGCATTTCAGAGACACTGCTAGTCGGATTGAAGCCAGCCTCCCAGATGACTCTAAAGACATGTGGAAGAAGAGGGGAAATGTGGAGTATGTGGTACTTCTTGACTGGTTTAGTTCTGCAAAAGATTTACAAGTTGGAACAACTCTACGGAGTCTGAAAGATGCACTTTTCAAGGTTAGCAAGTTTCCTTGTTAGCTTACTATAATTGCAAGCCTTCTTTGGTTGTTAGAAAGGTATGTTGACTAGTTTATCTTAAGGACAAGAAATTCATTATGCTTTGGTTGTAGTTTTTTTTAACTTTAGACTTAAAAGACTAATTTTGAGCTACCAAATAACAGTAAACTCTATATAAAGTAGGATGTTAGAATTTTCAGAAATAGTAATTGTCTGAAAAAGTGTTTTTTTTTGCTTTAAGAATTAGATTATGAGCTCTGGGTGGTGTGGCTCAGTGTATTGAGTGCTGGCCTGCAAATGAAGGTGTTGCTGGTTCAATTTCCACTGAAGGGAGCATGCCTGGTTTGCAGGCCAGGTCCCCGGTGGGGGGCATGTGAATGGCAACCATACATTGATGTTTCTCTCCCTCCCTTTCCCTGAGAAAATTAATAAATAGATTTTAAAAAAAAAGAATTAGATTATGAAACATACAAAGGAAGAAGTCACTGAGAAGAAAAGATTGATAGATTTGACCTCATAAAATAAAAAACTTAGGTGTGAAAAAATACCATAAAATTAGAAGACAGGAGACAAACAGAAAAATATTTGCAATAAGTAAGGCAGTGATTTAAGACTACCTAAAATTCAGAGAGATTTACAAGTAAATAAGAATATTACTTAAGATAAAATGGTAAAGTAAGTAGTGGACATAGACATAAGCAGGAAGAGAAATACAAGTGATAAAACCATAAAAATGGTCAACTTTACTAGTAATCAGAGAAATGCAAATTGAAACAATGAATGCCATTTTTACTGCTCTAATTAACCAAGATAAAAATGCTGTTTATTTTTATTTATTGATTTTTAGACAGAGACATGAATCTGTTGATCCACTTACCTATGCATTCGTTGGTTGATTCTTGTTGACTAAACTGGGGATTGGGATTACCAAACATTAATCCCCTGGCTGGGGATTGAACCTGCAATTTTGGCCTGTCATGATGACTCTCCCAACTAACTGAGCTACCTGGCCAGGGCCAAAAATACTCCATTTAATTTGTTAAATTATTAAACAATGATGGCACTGAATGCTGGCAAGAACGTGGTAAGGATAAAACTCAGTCTATTGGTAGGATTGATGAAACATGCTTTCCAGGAGGGTAGTCTTAAAAGCCTTGAAACAGTTCATGCTTTAAAATAGGGAATCTAGAAACAAAGATAGGTTGATATATGAAACTGCCTATGTTTACCTAGTTTTGAACTACAGAAAGAGCAATTTCATAAAGTTCATTCTAAGATATTTGAAAATTTAGTGTATGATAAAGGTAACATAACAAATCAGTGAGGAAAAGGTGGATTGAAATGAATGGTTTAGGGACAGCAGGCTAGCCAGTAAGTCAAAAAAAGAGGATCCCTATCTTATTTATTTCTTAGGCCACATTAGACTCAAATTGGTCAAAGATATACATAAATGTGTTGAATGAAATGGAGAACTACTTGGAAAAAACATTTAGTAGGTATCTTTATTATCTTAATCCTAAATTGAGACATCATTAAGGAAGGTCAATATCTGTGTTAAAAACATCATTAAATGTAAAAATCAAGACAGATTTTGTAACATATGCCAAGGACCTATTTTCCTCAATACTCAGAATACATTTACTGTTTACTAAGGAAGTAGGAAACTGTATAGAAAAATGAGCAAAGGGTGAGATAAAATCATAGACTATAAATGGCTAATAAACATATTAAAAGATGTTCAGCTTTACTAATAAACGCTAATTAAAACATGTTAACATTTTATGTCCACCAGTTTGGAAAATTGTTAAAGATTTATAATGGGCATTCTCATACACTACTGTTAAGTATATAAATTGGTGTTGTCTTTTTGAAAGGCAGTTTGGCAGCATCTACCAAACTTGTAAACCATTGGTTCAACTCCTAGGAAATGATCCTACAGAAATATTTGCCATATTTATTAAGAGCCTTAAAATGTTCTTATGCCTTGGCTCAGTAACTCCACTCCTGGGGATTTTCCCTAACGGAGTTAATTGTGTGTGTGCATGTATAAGGAAGAATCTTCAGTGTTTATATCAGCATTGTTTATAATTAACGGGGAAAAAGAACATTAAATGTTCAAGTGATGGGTTCAGTTTTGATATGTGTGTACATATGTGTATGAAATAGAATATTAGCTGGTCGTTACAAATTATATCTCTTTATTAATAAAAGTCTAATAAGAGAAGAGCAGCATCATAAAAGTTTCATTGTTTTGTAAATATGAAGTTTAAAAAGTACGTCCCTTTATAGAAAACTAAAAATAAACTCTGAAACGTTAAAGTGGTATCCCTAGGCTGTGAGGTTTTGTATGATTTTTATTGCATGTAAATGTATTTTTCTTCTGATATCACGGATTACTTGTTTGGTTGTAAAAACCTCATCTATCCTTTCTCATTTAAGGTTGAATTTTTAATTCAGCTCTCATTTTTTTTATCATTTAGAAGATGAATCTTCAAGAGAGCAATTTTGAAATTCAGGTTTATTCTGTTTTTAGCTGCCATATTAAGAACACTATTTCCTTATTTTTATAGTGGGAAAGTAAAACTGTCCTGCGCAATGAGCCTTTGGTTTTAGAAGGAGGCTATGAAAACTGGCTCCTTTGTTATCCCCAGTATACAACAAATGCTAAAGTCACTCCACCCTCACGAGGCAAGACTGAAGAGGTGTCTATCTCATGTATGTATGTGAAAGTTTTTGTTTACAGTTGCCTCAGTAAAATAAACTTTAATTATTTATGTTCTCAGGGTAATGTTCTTAGTTGTGTGTGCATTTGTGTTATTAGATCGCATTTTGTTTTCAGACGTAAGAAGTATGAGATATCCATAGCCTGGAAGTTAATGTTTAATTCTTTAAGACTGTTGTCTTCTTATTTTGTTTACATTTAACTATTCGTCTATAACATGCATGAAATATGTAAGTACTGTTTATAGGGGTTGCTGTTCTTTCAATTTATTATTATTCTTTTGGGGATTTTAGTGAATTTTACTTATCCCTCATTGGAAGAACCAGTTCCTTCTAAATCTGCACAAATGCCACCTCCTTCTATAGAAGCAGATGAAAATATAGAATTGATAAACGATCAAGATGAGAGAATGAGACCATTGACTCTATCAGCTCCATTTGAACCAATTGCTACTTCTAAGGTTGATGTTTGGTCACCCATAAGTCAGCCAGTGCCTATTGTAAAGAATTTTCCACAGGTATGTTCTTGATTTTCTTGTAACTTCATTATCTCTTTTCTTTTAATATTATGTTAAATATATAAGATAGAAATGGAGTTTTATATCTATCCTATAATATTTTAGAAAAAAATATCAGTGAGAAGAATCTACATGTTTTGGTACCTTTTTTGCTATAAAATATTTTCATTGTAATTCAGTTCTGTTGCCACAGCAGTATTAGAATAGATAATATGAAGGATTTTTAAACCCAGCTGGCAATCCATTTACTACAGACAATGCCAATAAAAGATTATATTATTACCACAGTGAACTTGAACACTTCTAAGTTTTGTGGGGGTTTTTATTATTATTGTTTAATCCATAATATTTTCCCAAATTGTTTGGCTTACAGATGATAAATATGTAATGTTAGTGTTTTGAAACAGTACTTTAGTTCCATTTCCTTAGAATTTGATACACAAGTAACAGGTACGTTTTAATAATTATCTAAAAAAATTTAACCAAGATGTTACAATAAAAATTTGGAGGATTGTTCTCTTCGTTAGATTTTATGTAAGGAAAGGTTAACTAATTTTCCCCTAGCATTTTTCAGTAAGATTTTTTAACATTCATAGGATTAAGCTATGGATTCCATCTGATGTTTAGAAGGAGAGACTTGTACAAAATCAGCCATAGCATAAGACGGAATATCACAATTTCTCTAATAGTTACTGGAACACAGAGCTAGGAGACAAACTCTGACTGAGAGTATCAAGGAGGGCTTTATGGAGTTTTTATCTGGGCTTTAAGAGTTTAGTAAGGGTCTCTGCCTGCGCACGATGGCTGCTACCGCATGGGGGTTGGGTCAGCACCGGGATCCCACCGGCTGCTCTCCCAGTTCTCTTCCTGGCACCTCCTTCCCCTGTCTCTCCTCGGGCGTCTTTAGCCCACCCTGCCCCGGCCTTTGCCGGAGACCAGGAAATCCTGAGTGCACAGCCTTTCACCATGGACTGGAGCTGGAGAGCCTTCTTCCTGGTGGCAGTGGCTACAGGTGTCCACTCCCAGGTGCAGCTGGTGCAGTCTGTGGCTGAGATGAGAAAGCCTGGGTCCTCAGTGAAGGTCTCCTGCAAGGCTTCTGGATACACCTTCATCAGCAACTGGATAAACTGGGTGTGACAGGCTTCGGGACGAGGGCTTGAGTGGATGGACCTGGTTAACCCTAATGACGGTGCCACTAACTATGCACAGACGTTCCAGGGCAGAGTCACCATAACTGCAGAGAAGTCCATAAGCACAGTCTACATGGAGCTGAGGAGCCTGAAAGCCAAGGACACAGCCATGTATCACTGTGTGAAAGACACAGTGAGGGGAAGTCAGTGTGAGCCCAGACACAAACCTCCCTGCAGGAAACAGGAAGGCCGGGCTGCAGGGGGCACTCGGTACATCAAATACAGTGTTCACCCCAGGAGCACCTGTTGCAGATTAAGGGATTGTTTCCTCGCAGTTGGAGTTGCGAGGTTCACGCTCCATAAAGCAGTTTCCCTCTGGGAGCATCCCTTCATGGTTCTGTGCTTACCTCCTAAATATCTGAATTACAGAGGCTTGTTGTTTTAGGAGGAAAACATTCTCATAAGCACCAAGGCAGAGAGTTGCATACATTTGCTTACTCCAGTCCTAATAGCTCATCAATACATCATCAGTTATTCTGACCCACATCAGCTGGATCCAACCAGAGACTCTACTGGACTCAACAGTGCGGCACAGCCTAGAGTCTGAGCTGGCCAGCAGCACAGGACGTGCATGCTGAAAGGTGGACACCGGATCTTTATGAACCCAATGCCAGAGGACACAGCCCCCGGTGGTTATGGTCATTGGTGGCCTTGGCTTTTAGGCTGCTCAGGTCCATGTAGACTGTGCTTATGGACTTCTCTGCAGTTATGGTGACTCTGCCCTGGAACTTCTGTGCATAGTTAGTGGCACCGTCATAAGGGTTAACCAGGCCCATCCACTCAAGCCCTCGTCCCGAAGCCTGTCACACCCAGTTTATCCAGTTGCTGATGAAGGTGTATCCAGAAGCCTTGCAGGAGACCTTCACTGAGGACCCAGGCTTTCTCATCTCAGCCCCAGACTGCACCAGCATCGACGAGTCCATGTCGATGACACAAACAGCAGTTGACATCATGCAGAGGTAGAGAATCCCCACCAGACATTGGTACAGATGTCCAGGCTTATGAAATCACACACACAGAGGGAGTATGGAAAAGTTTGTCATTTTATTGTGGAGTCCATTGGAGGCAGGGCTGACTTCAGCAATTCAGAAATGACTGGATCCTACTAGGCAGAATTTCCTGGTTAAAAGTCGTGGAACGCTCTAAACTTATGTATTGGGAAGGCAGCGTTAGGAGTGGGTATAATCCGTGTACCCTTTCACTTTTTATCACATCAGTATGGAACCAGATACAGGTTTCACTGGAGGTAAAATCCATAAATGCATGTTTCTTCTAATCGTCATGTCACAGGGACATGGCTGATGTGTGTGTGAAGGCATGGGCATGAATCGCACTTGGGTGTAGCATTGACCAAGTAGGACTGCGGGATTATTTGGTTTTCTGTTTTTAACTAAGCATGTCATTTTTTCAAACTTCCCAAATTGTATACAATAATGGCAATGTGGTGTTTGGATTACAGTAACCACTTACTGAGTAATGATTAATGTGCTTTGTGTACCTCAGTCACTTGAGATGACTGTTGGTAAGTCATGGGCGGGGGGAGGGAGGTTGAGCACAGAGGGTTTCCAGGGCAGTTAAAGTGCTCTGCACGTGTTTATTGCTACTTCTCACTCTCTCGATGCTGATGGACTTGGTGCACAGATGAACAATGGGCAGGAATTCTGTCTTGAAAGCACAAAGGGCAGCCCTTGCAGTGCCCACTGCCCTCAGCCACGGGAGGCTGATGATGGTAATGAATGTCTCTCTGTGTGTTCACACATGGACAGAGTCACACAGGGAATTTATTCTGAGCTGAATAGCATGAAACATTGCACATGTGGAATATTGCTGTAAATTAAATTGTATTACACTGCCAGATAGTAAAATTTAGCAACAACAATAAAAACTCTACAGCACAGGGTCTTAAAAAAAAAAAGAGTTTAGTAAGATTTCAGGATGGAAAAGACAGTAAAAAATTGTATGACTAAAGGCTCAGAGCATGCTCTGAGACCAGCAGTGCTTGGACACAGCAATCCGTTAGAGAATAGTGACTGACAGTAGATAAGGTTGGAAAGATGGACAAGAGTCATCAAGAGAGACTTAGATCAGATTGGAATTTTATCCTGTAGGCTCAAGGAAACCCTTTAAAGGATTTTAAACTTGAAAATAACATGGTCATAGCTATGCTTTTAAGATTAAGGAAAAATGGATTGAGTTACCAAAATGTAGATGGGAGAATTTTGGTTCCATTTAACCTTTTATAGTTAACCTCATATTCATAGTGGTTCTTCCCACTTCCTTCTCAAGTATAGAAAACAAGAGGAGAGAATAGATTTTTTTTTAAGTGAAGGGAAAAAAAGTGAAGAACAAAGGGATGATATTTTTCTTCACTACTTTCTATGGTATTGTTTTCTAGTGGGAAAACATGCAATTTATTTTATAAGAACACAATGCAGGTTGTTACTAGTAGGTATTCTCTTAAGTTTTCTCTTTTTAGAAACTGTCTTCTCAAAAAATTATGTTAACATAGCTTCTAACAGTTTCGTAGGGTTAGTTCGCAGTTAAATTGAGGTAATAAACACTTAACTCATTAAATGAAGAATTTGGATAGTTTACTTCTCAACTTGTATTTAGGATCTTATCTCTTAGGAATATTTTATTCATTCTCACAGCAATATATGTATTTATTGTGTGTCCAGCACAGTCCCTGCCCTCCTGGAATTTATATTCTAGGAGAGAAGAAGCTTTTAAACAAATAATTATAGTTATTTCATCAGAATCTCTAAGTACTATTAAGGAAAAGAATATGGTATTAGGAGGGTACATATTAGGAGACTCGACTAGTTTTAGGGATCAGGAAGGTCTTTTCTAAGGAGGAGACATTTATACCAAGATTTAATGTGGTGGTGGGAATTATCTAGATGAACAGCTGATGTAAAGGGGCCTGAGTTGGGAAGGAGCACAGCATCTTTGAGGAAATTTTTTTTTTAAGGGAAGTATGGATAGACTTGGAGAACACTATGCTAAATGAAATAAGCCAGCCAGAGAAAGACAAGTATCATATGCTCTCACTTATATGTGGAATCTAATGAACAAAATAAACTTAACAGAAACAAACTCATAGATACAGAGAACAGACTAACAGTTCAGGGGGAAGAGGGGTTGGGGAGGCTGGGTGGAAAAGGTGAAGGGATTAAGCAAAGAAAAAAACACTTCATAGACAACAGTATAGTGATTACCAGAGGAAGAGGGGATTGGTGGGGAGGTAGAAGAGGGTAAAGATAGAGGGGGTGGGGTTAAATGATGAAGGAAGGAGACTTGGTTTGGGGTGGTGAACACACGATATGATATACAGATGATGTATTATAGAATTGTATTCCTAAAACCTGTATAATTTCATTAACCAATGTTACCCCAATAAATTCAATAAAAATTTTTTAAAAGTAGGAAAATATGGCTGGTGTATAGAATGATGTGTGATAAGATTGGAGAGATAAGCAGAAGTGAGACCACCATGGTAAGAGTTTTAGATGTAATCTAAGTATAGTGAGTGGCTATTTAAAGTAGGGTTTTAAATAGGTGAGAAACATGGTCACATTAGTGTTTTAAAATAATTATTCTGGCCACAATGTGGAGAAATAGAAGGGAGGCAAGAGAAGCTGTGTAGAGAGAATGTTGGTATGGACTTGGTTGGTGCTAATGGAGATGGAGGGGCAGATATAGGAGGAAAATCATCAGGCTGCATAAGAGCAGGGGAGAAGATGAGACTCAGTTTTCTAGTTTGAGCCGTTTGGGTAGTGGTTATATCCATGAGACAACCGTGTTTACAGGGGGAGATTGTGGATTTCAGCTTTGGTCTTACTAGGTTTGTGGTATATTTGAGACACCGCCATGGAGTCACTGAGTAAGCCATTGAATATGTGGAAATGGAACTAAAGGCTAGCTATGCCCAGGTCTAGGTTTTATGTTTTATAATGAACTCTTCCATATTCAGAACTCATCAGAGTGTATTGAATGTGTGTAATCAAGTGGAAACAAGTGCCAGTGCCTTAGGAGAAATCTTGACATTGGGGGTAATTTACAAATAGATATTCTGGCAGATGTTTTCTCCACAAAGTGATGGTTCTTTTATCACAACTTGATTTCAAGAGTGAGTTCCTGGATTTTGATAAAAGTATGCTTTATTCTGTTTTTTTGTTGTTACAGATTGATCGTACTAAAAAACCAGCAGTCAAATTGCCTGAAGATCATAGAATAAAATCTGAAAGTACAGATCATGAGCAACAGTCTCCTCAGAATGGAAAAGTTCCTGATCGTTCCACAAAGCCAGTACTTCCCCCTCCAGCTGCCATGTTAACAGATGAAGAAAAAGCTCGTATTCATGCAGAAACTGCTCTTTTAATGGAGAAAAACAAACAAGAAAAAGAACTTCGAGAAAGACAGCAAGAGGAACAGAAAGAGAAACTGAGGAGAGAAGAACAGGAACAAAAAGCCAGAAAGAAACAGGAAGCTGAAGAAAATGAAATCACAGAGAAGCAACAAAAAGCAAAAGAAGAAATGGAAAAGAGAGAAACTGAACAAGCCAAGAAAGAAGATAAAGAAACCTCAGCAAAGAGGGGCAGAGAAATGACAGGAGTAAAAAGACAATGTAAAAGTGAACATGAAACTACTGATGCCAAGAAATCTGTGGATGATAAGGGGAAAAGGTGTCCAACCCCTGAAGTACAAAAAAAGTCAATGGGCGATGTGCCCCCTGCCTCCGTGGCAGGAGATTCAAGTTCAGGCAAGGTAAGCTGAACCAAACAGTATGGCTTGCCAACTAAGTGAAATAAATGTACGTAAAAGGATGAAACCAGTAGTACCCATAAGAAGGCTAAGCATTTTAAGCAGTTTTCTAGAGGGTTATAGATTTGTACTGATTCATCTACATTTTGCTTACCTACTCTCCTTTGATTGGTTGGTAGTGGAATTGCCCTTTGAGTGTGTGAAATGCAACATTTGTAATTGAAATGAATAGCTGCATTTTTGTTATTTTTCAAATATGATCATCAAAAGACTAGAGTGAAATATTATCTTTCTTTCATTGTGGAGAAATGAGGAAAAGGAGGAATATTTGAATGATAGAGTTTGTATCTGCTTAGACTATATCTGAAATCAGTGACGAGTCATTTTCTTTGTTGGTTCATATAATCAAGAATTTTGGTAATAACCCAATTAATGTTGTTTTTCTCTGCACTGGGCTATTCCCCAAAATTGATTTCTGTAACTACTTTTTTTCCTCTGCTAAGCAACTGACAATGTCATTCCCTTTTGAACCCTAAATAAATCTTTATAATAGCAGGAATAGTTGTAGCCCTGTTTATGTCCATGTAAATGGAAATACATTTTTGGTAGTGTGAAAATTACTTTTGATGGAAGGTAGCATGCCATATTTGCAAGTTATTAATTTCTCTACTTCTCAAGCAGCAATTCAGGCATATACCAAATAGAACCATTTTTATTAATGCTTCACATATACAAGGAATACTTATCTGGTAACCTTAGTTACCAGAAATGTAGTTGCCATACAAAAACCTTTCTAAACACCCAAAGTTAGGGAAATGAAGCCCATGTACTAATACTTTATTCATAGGAGAATCAGAACTTACAGGCTCTTATAATTTAAATATTACTCATTGAGTATCTATTATATGCCAGTATTTTCTGTACATCATCTTACTTATTCCTCCTAATAACAACCTCATGGAGTATTCAATTTACAAATGAAATTGAAACTTAGAAGTTAAGTAATTTGCCTTAGATCACAAATGCAGTGAGATTCCATAGTCACTTCCTTTCCATCTTGCTGTACTTAGAGGTGGGCAGTCATAAGAACTTAAAGCATTTATATTTCAGAGGTTATTTGGTATAGATGCCAGATATTCTTACAGATCTAAATAACCCTGAGATTATCACATATGTTTGATTTTTCTTATAACACATCAAAAAGAAGTTAACGATTACATTCATTGTATGCTCCTTTTAAAACTGAGCAAAATAATTTATTCTGTAACCTACCTTATTAAAATTAATACCCATTTTTTAACTTTTCACTTTACTGTAGTTATTTTTTAAATGTACTACAAAATTAAAGTGAATTTTTGAAAGACACTATGGTAAGTTCGAAAAGGATATAAAATGGAATTTTGTCCTTTTGACTAGTGCTCTGTATAAAATTCTATAATCTCTTTATTCTCTTCAATATATTTTTTTTTGGTACATGATCACTTTCAAGTTAACCAAAATCATATGAGATTTAAATAAAAGCATAGTGTTCAAAAGAAGCCACGGTGACCAGCATCGTGTACTTTGCCGCAGATTATAAATCAGTGCTTCACAACCCACTATGACTTGTGTCATTTTTTTACCCTACTGGTTTATCAGTCTTTTAGTTCTTTAGCATTAGTATTAGGAAATGCCACATGGGCTCTACCATCTTTAATTTAAAAGAATCTACTTTGACAATAAAATTGCATAGTTTTCAGAGGCCTCACTTTTTTCTCCTTCTACGTATTCTATCAAATATGATAGATCTGCTTATATTAGCTTCTGATAGGTAGGTGTATATTAGGGGGAAATTAAAGGTTCCCCCCCCTTCTGAAATTTTAATAATTTTACAGCCTCCGTAACCATGTGGTTGTCCTTACCATACCATTCATTCTCCATCTTAATATCTACTCTCTGGGCCATGGCTGGTGTTGCTCAGTGGACTGAGTGTCAGCTTGTGAACCCAAGTGTTGCTGGTCTGATTCTCAGTCTAGGGCACTTGCCCGGGTTTTGGGCCAGGTCCCGGGGAGGGGGGCATGTGAGAGGCACCACACATTGATGTTTCTCTCTCTCTCTCTTTCTGCCTCCCTTCCCCCTCTCTAAAAATAAATAAATAAAATCTTTTTCAAAAAAGTCTCTGAGGGAATCTTCTCAATCTTTGGTAGCTGATCTGTGTTTGTTTTTACATGATTTCATACTTCCTATTGAAAGTACAACAGTATATTCTATTCATTTTGTGAAATTAAAAAATACTTAGGCCTTATTAAATGATCCAGCAATTGTACTTCTGGAAATATACCCAAAAGAATCGAAAGCAGGACCGCAAAGAGCTATTTATACATTTATTTTCATAGCAGTGTTATTCACAGTAGTTAAAAGATGGCAGCAACCTATGTATCCATCCACAGGTGAACGTATAGACAAATGTGGTATGTACAGACAATGGAGTATTGCTCACCCTTAGAAAGGAAGGAAATTCTGACACATGCTACAACATGGATATATCTTGAGGACGTATGCTAAGTGAAATAAGCCAGTCACTAAAGGACAAAAGCTGTATGATTCCATTTACATAGTGTACCTAGAGTCGTCAAATTCATGAAGACTGGAGTTAGTGGCGAGGGATAGAGTCCAGGGGTGGAGGGAATGGGCAGTCGTTTAAATGGGTACAGAGTTTGTTTTGCAAGATGAAGAGAGTTCTGGAGATCAGTTGTACAACAACGTGAATATACTTAGGCCACTTTACACTTAAAAATGGGTAAGATTGTAAATTTTATGTATACTTTATCATAATTCTGGGAATATTTAGGCCTTTTATGAGACACCTTTGCCTTTGATTTTAAGAGCTTTATTTAAGTATAGTGTGCATACCATAAAACTCACCCAGTTCAATGTACAGTTCAGTGATTTCAGTTCAGAGTTGTGATACAATTATTCACTCAATCCAGTTATAGAATGTTTGTATCGCACCAAAAGAGATCTCTGTGCCAATTGTAGTCATTCCCTCTTCCTACCCTCAGGCCCCAAGCAACCATCTACTCTCTCCATAGGTTTGTCTCCTGGGCATTTTTTATAAATAGAATCATTTTATATTTTATATGTATAATTTATCTCTCTAGGTGGGAGGGGTGTGTGTATAAAGTCTTTTGTATATGTTGACCTTCACCTAGCATAATTTTTTTGAGATGCGTCTATGTCATAGCATGTATACCAGTAGTTTATTCCTTTGTATTGCTAAGTATTATTCCCTTGTGTGTGTATACCACATTTTATTCACCAGTTGATGGACATTTGGATTGCTTCTAATTTGGTCTATTAGGAATAGTGCTGCTGTGAACATTTGCATACAAGTTTTTGTGTGGAAATATGTTTTCATTTCTTTGTGGTTGATAACTAGAACTAGAACTGTCTTTTTGTTTTTGTCTTTTTAAGGAAGCTTTTAAAGACCATTGTCATTATAGGCCTGTGCACACACAACTCCTCTTCCCCTTCCTATGATATTTGGACTTTGAGAAAATATATATAATTCTTCATGTTCAATCTTGTTTTAAAAATATTGAGGATAGCCAACACGGACTTTTGGTTCTCTGGTACAAGTGGCTTAAGTTTGTATGTGACAAAATTTAATTGAAAAATCAGATTTTTTTTTCTCTTTTTTTAAATAAACTAGGCTCGAGAGCCTTTGACAAGAGCACGAAGTGAAGAAATGGGGAGGATCGTACCAGGACTGCCTTTAGGCTGGGTCAAGGTAAAACCCAAAATTAGCATAGAAATAAACAACATGATCATCATGTTCTCTAAAGAAGGATGTTTTTTTTGTTTCGTTTTGTTTTTTGTTTCTGTATTCTACATCTTCTCTAATGCAGTCAGTTCTGTTTTTTCATTATAGAGGAGGACATAGCTCATTTTCCTAATTACAGCAAGTTAGATTTCTGAATATCTAATCTGGGTTGCTGGCTATAATATATAAGCATTCCTGGCATTTGTCATTTAGAAACAATGTATTACTTTAAAACCTTAAGTTCCTTGGGAGTTTAAGTATAGAATTGATTATCGCCATTTTACTTAAGTCATGTTAATCCAAAAGCAAATTTAGCAGTGGAATACTTATGAGTGATTTTTGTTGTTGTTGTTCATTGAATGGTCATTGTTTTTTGACCTGTTTTTTTCTTTTTCTTTTCCAACTAAGTTTCTTGACCCAATCACTGGAACTTTTCGTTATTATCATTCACCCTCCAACACTGTTCATATGTATCCACCGGAAATGGCTCCTTCATCTGCTCCTCCTTCCACCCCTCCAACTCACAAAGCCAAGCCACAAATTCCAGCTGAGCGGGATAGGGAACCGTCCAAACTGAAACGCTCCTACTCCTCCCCAGATATAACCCAGGCCATACAAGAGGAAGAGAAGAGGAAGCCAACAGTAACTCCAGCAGTTAATCGGGAAAACAAGTAAGTTTATCCTAATCCCTAAACTAGAATAATCTGCTATATTTGAAAGTTACTCTAGACATACCAGCTTATTTATGTCAGGGAATCAAATTTCTGTGGATGGCTATACCAGCCATTGTTATTTACCATTCAGGAAAATAGAAATGACTGTATTAAAATGTCCTTGGTTTTTTTCTCAAGTGCTAACTTAAATATGTCAGAGAAGACTATTAATTATTAATGTAGATATAACAATATATACATTATTATATTTTAAGACACCATGCCATAGGCTACCTAGAAGTTTTCACAAATTTCCTAAATCTCCCTTTGAGGGCCATAATTTATAGGCTGTTGAGTTTGCCTTAGTGAAGCTCTCAAGGTCTAAACTTTTTTTTTTTTTTTGAGTTAGTCAGTAATAGGGGAGTATACTTATATATAGTATTAAAATAATAAGCATTGTACTGTGTATCAGCTCCTAATCCTTATTCTTGTTCCCTTTTCTTTTGTTACATTTCTGCTATTCTATTTACAAGTAGTGATCAGTAGGTTCATGTAAGTTTTCCAAAACAGTATCTCATTTAGATGTGTTCTTGGCTTTATCCCTTTTTGAATACTCTAATGACTCTGGCTCATGACTGATAGGGTTAAGAGACGATACTTTTTAAGTCCACTTACAATTTCTAATCTTTACCTTTTTGGGGAATAGTTGGAAGTGTCAATACAGTGGTACCTTGGTACTTGTCATTAATTCATTCCGGAACTCATAAGGAGTGCTGTAACCGACAAGTGCAGAACGATGAAGCCTTTCCTCTTACGGGGCGGCATTGTGACTCATAGATTCTAGCAAGTGCAATGAGTTCCCAGCAGGCGCCGAGTGCTGAAACTTTTTTCTCGTCCAAATGTGGCAAGTACAGGGTTTGACAAGTTCTGAAGCTAACAAGTATGAGGCTTTGTAAATGGCTTTGTTTTCCTGTATATGTGTATGCCCTTTTGATTGCTAGGGAATTTCAACTAGGCTATCTTTTGGCCCCTGTGGAATACTTCCCAAAAACATAGTTGATATATTTTTCTCCCGAGAATTTACCCTGCCAATTAGGGAACTACATGGAGATCTTTTTTTTCTTTAATCTGTAAATCTAGTTAAGAGATTTTAGGGCTCACTGTTAAAACTGATGAGATTTAATTCCTTTTTGCATCATGATACTTAATAAATTTGTTAATTTGACAGTTTTAAAACCTATCACATAGGCAGTTTATATATTTTTACATATATTGAACAGAGTAAGAGTACATGAGTGCAAACACCTGAACACGTTTAAAAAAAAAAAAAAAACCTGATCGGAGTGTAGTTCAGCCCTGACTGGTGTGGCTCAGGTGGTTGGGCATCATTCCTCAAAGTAAAAGGTCGTTCGTTATAGTCCCAGTCAGGGCACATGCCTGGGTTGCAGGTTCAGTCCCTGGTCAAGGTGCATATTAAATAAATACCAAAAAAAAAATGTTCTATATCTGTAATGATAGAAATGTTTTGTGTTTGTGCTATCCAGTATGGTAGTGTTTACTTTGGATTGTGACTAGTGTGAGGAGCTGAATTTTAATTTTAAATTTAAGAACCCCCTTTGCCTAGTGGCTACCATATTTGTCAGCACAGCTCTCCACGTTAGGAAATAGTATCCAAATAACCTCCTTCCTTTGATCTGCTCCACAGTAACATGCAGGGATGGGCAAAAGTGGATTTACAGTTGTGAGTATGCAAAACACAAGAGTTTATTCTTGTATTACTATTTATTTATATACTATCTTCCATATGCACAACTATAAACCTACTTTTGTCCACCCCTGTGTGTGTGTGTGTGTGTGTGTAAATAATCCCTTTTTTGGCACTCTGTTGAGTTCAACATTTATTAATACTAAACTTCTCAGGATCATTTAAAGGAGTGTGAAAGAGCCTTCTTTACTGGAAGACTTGACCTGTTCATGAGAAGGTAGAGAATCTATCTTAGGATGTCCTAAGAACTGTGGACCCACATAAGAAGTTAAAGGTATTTGTTTCATGGGAAGGTCACAGAATATGTCACCTAGATATTAAATGTTGTGTAAGACCCTAATACCTTATGAGTCAACTTATTAACACTGTACAAGATAACTGTGTACTACAGTATACATGCTGGAGTTGGCTGCCATTTGTAATTTGAACCTTATTTTCATGTGCTGTGCATTCTAAGACATCTTGCACACTTTTTCTTTCTCAGGCCCACATGCTACCCTAAAGCTGAGATCACAAGGCTTTCTGCTTCTCAGATTCGAAACCTCAATCCTGTGTTTGGAGGATCTGGACCAGCCCTCACCGGGCTTCGTAATTTAGGAAATACCTGTTACATGAACTCAATACTGCAGTGCCTATGTAATGCTCCACATTTGGCTGATTATTTCAACCGAAACTGTTACCAAGATGATATTAATAGGTAAAGAAATTTCTTTCTTTTTGTAATACAATATTAAAGAGTGGTGTAACCACCCGGCTCTTTCCAGAGAAGTTAAATTAGGAAAGGCAAAAATACCTTTACTCTGAGGAGAAACGTAGAGAAAAGCCTCCTCTGATTGGTAAAGGACAGACAGGAAAGGAGCAGCTCAAGAAGGCAAGAACCTTGCTGTGACAGACTGGAGCCTGTCACTGAGGAGAGGGGGTGCAGGGCTGGCATCAACAAGAAGCAAATTGGAGGAGTGTAATCAAAGTAAGATTCAGTTGAGTATTTGGTAATAAATCTATGAATAAGCATTTTAGTGTAGGGTTGTAGTTTGTCAGTAGCTTAATGTTGACATCAAGCATCCACTGTACCTTGGCTTTCTACAATTTATTGATTTTTTTGTACCTTTATTTGCCAAGATCAAATTTGTTGGGGCATAAAGGTGAAGTGGCAGAAGAATTTGGCATCATCATGAAAGCACTGTGGACAGGACAGTACAGGTATATCAGTCCCAAGGACTTTAAAACCACCATTGGGAAGATCAATGACCAGTTTGCAGGATACAGCCAGCAAGATTCACAAGAGTTGCTTCTATTCCTAATGGATGGTCTCCATGAAGATCTAAATAAAGTAAGAAACTTGATTTTTCTAAATTGTAAAGGCTCTTTCGGGTTGTTCAGCACTGTAATCATTTTTTGTAAAATATTGGTGTATTTATCAATTTTTAAAAGTTAATCGTATGTGCCTTGACTGCGGATTGGACCTGCAGTGTTGACATATCTGGACGATGCTGCAACCAGCTGAGCTACCCAACCAGGGCTGTAACCATTTTTATAGCAATTTAAAATTATAGTTGGTGGTTATCTAGTGACTTTGTACTAAGTTAGGGAACTATAAAACACATATATCCATTAGGTCTAGTATTTGAAAAGAAGCATATGCAATTTGTGTTTACTCACTAAAATGTTATCAGGTGTTACTATAATTTATCAATGTTAAAATAGTTGTTGGAGATACTGTGTTTGTGATCTACATGTATGTGAAAGGAAACATAGTATTTTATAAAAGATTAGCTATAGACAGCCTGAACATCCTATTACATATATATTATATGTATGTATTATATTCTGTATATATTACTATATTCTTATATTTTTTTCTAAAATAAGAATCTCTCCATGTAACCACATTGAGGCATGTATCTCTACATAAATAACCAATCTGTTTTAATACCATGGAGTCTTTTTAGCACCAAGCTGTCCCTCTCCTTCAGATATCTTGAGATCTCCCACTGAACATATATGTATGCAAACATGTACATGCATATATATGTGAACATATATATAGCGTGTATATATGTATATTGTATATGTGTGAGAATATGAATATATGTTTAGTGTGTGTGTGTCCATCCCTGAGACTAGGACAACAAAGTAACATCTGTGTAGTTGTAGCTGCGTGTGGCATGTCTTCTTTTTAAATAAAAATTTATTAAGCAGTTCCCCCAAGTCACATCCTTTTGATAAAGTGGGTTTTTGGTTTCTCAGGAGGCTTGGCTAGAATTTTTTTACAGTACTTAATGAGATTAGAATGCCTCTATGAAAAGAATCCGAAGTGCTTCTAAATCTGCAAAGTGTTTGTATTTAATATATTTTTTCAATTTTTTATTTAAATGCTGACTTTGAGATATTAACATAGAGGTTAAATAATCTTTTCCAGGCTGATAATCGGAAGAGACATAAAGAAGAAAATAATGATCATCTTGACGACTTTAAAGCAGCAGAATACGCTTGGCAGAAACACAAGCAGCTCAATGAATCTATCATTGTTGCACTTTTTCAGGGTCAATTCAAATCCACAGTACAGTGCCTCACCTGTCACAAAAAGTCCAGGACATTTGAGGCCTTCATGTACTTGTCTCTACCATTAGCATCCACAAGTAAATGTACATTACAGGTAAGTTTGTAATTGAGAGAAAATGATTTGTTGGATACAAATGCTGTTTATATACAGATAGAGATATACTTTTTCCAGCAATTTATTTCTGTTCTTTACCCCTATAAACATTTTATAGGTAAAAACCACACATAAATTGTTTTAATTAGACCTATGTAGATTAGAAAAAAATTTCTCCCAAAAAGAATTTTTTTAAAGATATAATAATTTCTTATTAGGTATGCTTTCAGAGTTGATAAATAATAGAGTTTTTTGTGGGGTTGTTTTTTTTTTACTGTTTGTATTCTGAAGAAGTTTCGTTTGGAAAATTATATGTTGACTTTAGGTATGCTTTTTATAAGAATTTGCTTTACACACAAGTATCAGATATTTTGCTTCCCACGTCACAGCAGTGAGGTTTAGATCGCTTATTGGTCCCTTTAGTGCTGGCTTCTTTGAGGATGTCATTTCTTCCACCAAGACTTCCCTGAGCCCCCAGGTGAGGCGTGTGCTCTCAGGAGGTGCAGTACTTCTTCCTATCCCCACAGGCACGCACACCCCGCTCTGGGGTCGCTTTAGGCCCGCTCTGCATTCCTCACTAGATCATGTACTTTGTGAGGGTAAGAACTGTTTTGTTCTAGTTACTGTCATATCCTTCATACCAGGCAGAGTAACTTACTGAATAGATGCTCAATGACACTGTGTTGAAGAAATGAATTACTGAGTATGTACTACTTCTTTTTGCCCTCCAGGATTGCCTTAGGTTATTTTCCAAAGAAGAAAAGCTCACAGATAATAACAGGTTTTACTGCAGTCATTGCAGAGCCCGAAGGGATTCTCTAAAAAAGATAGAAATCTGGAAGTTGCCACCTGTGCTTTTAGTGCATCTGAAACGGTAAAGGGCAAAACTTTTTCTACTTGTTTAGTACAGTTTAGATGAAGAGACTCTAAATCCTCTATTCCATATCATTTTGTTGCACTGCCTACCAAGGATGCATAATCAAGGAAGATTAACTGGTTAGGGTATCTCCAGGGAAATAGGGCAGAAATGATGAGACTCCAGTTCACCTTAGTGTTTGCAGTGGTAGAGCAAAATGACAGCACCAGTCTTTCATATAATTCTGTCTTTAAAAAAAAAAAAATCAATGAAACAAAATTATTCCATTTCAAATATAAAAATTGTAAGTCATTACAAAACATCAAGAAAACATATTAAAACATTATATAGTATACCTCTAACATATTAGCAGATAAAATTTGTTCAGAGAGTAAACATAAGAAAGATTAAACCTGTGATGAAAATGAAATACACGATTTTTTTAAGTGTTATTTTAAAAGTAAAATTTTAAGGATGACATTGTTGAGTGCAGACGTCATTTTGTCCAGATTTTTTCAGCCAGTGAAAAAGGCCTGGCCTATTATAGAAGGAATAAAATATGTCAGGTCTTTTGCTTTGATTCTTTAGTCTTTATATAATCTTGCCATCTGTGGAGTGGTAACTTCTAAAAAGTTTTTTAAAAAATGACTCAGAAAATTATTGAGAGCTATAGTTTTTGTTTCATCTTGCATTATTGGAGATTCTTAGGCAGTTATGTTAATTTTAACATTGACTAGTTCAAATTCCTGTTGTGTAAATTTTCTGAAAAAATTTATTTTATCAGTTCTTTTCTTGAGGACTGTGGAGGTAAATACTACAGAAATAATTACACATTTGTTGTGTTAACATTTTTAATGCTGAATATTACTCTTGCGTAGTATCTAAAAATATAAATGGTCCAGAATTCAGATTTTTAAAAATAAATATGAAATAACCCTATCACAGCAACCAAAACACCATTATTTTGGGATGTGAAGAGCAGTGTCAGCCAGGGCAACAGAGCGGCACTGGCTCAGTTGCAGGCCTGCGTGCTTTCAGGTCCAGGCTCCGGGTTCCCCCAAAGTGCACGCTTAAACCTCAGCATTTCTCCTCAGTCTTTCCTCTGTACTTTTGTAGTGATTAGCCTATGAATGTTGGTTTTCAGAACTTTTTATTGCATCTAACAAATCTAGCTAGTCTAGGGATTAAAGGACCAAGGTGTGGTCCTCCCTCTGCCACCCCAGCTGTTTGACTTTGGGCAAGCCATGCAATACCTATGCGCCTCAGTTTCCTCACTTGTAAAATGGAAATGAAACCAAGTGTTTTTAACAGGTCTCTCCACTATTAAAATGCTAAGTATGTGACTGAAATGGATTTTATGGTCTTGGCTAAAAATCTAGATCGTTAATAAATGAATTGAGGTTCATTCTGATGTCTTTGATCTGTCATGTAATTGTAATGCTTGGCTTTGCAGTTTTTCCTATGATGGTAGATGGAAACAAAAATTGCAGACATCTGTGGACTTTCCCTTAGAAAATCTTGATTTGTCTCAGTATGTTATTGGTCCAAAGAACAGTTTGAAGAAATACAACTTGTTTTCTGTTTCAGTAAGTATGTCATTGAACTTTTTCTTTCAAAGCAAACTAAAAATAAGTTTCAGGTGGGTCCTTACCTTATAGGAAAGAAAGAACAACATAATGCTTTGAAATTACTATTGACATATTTTACATTCAGTGTGAATTGATTTTCTGTTTTGTTTGGCACAGAATCACTACGGCGGGCTGGATGGAGGCCACTACACTGCCTATTGTAAAAATGCAGCAAGACAGCGGTGGTTTAAATTTGACGATCATGAAGTTTCTGATATCTCCGTTTCTTCTGTGAAATCTTCAGCAGCTTATATCCTCTTTTATACTTCCTTGGGACCACGAGCAACTGATGTAGCCACATAAGAAGAAGTAGGTTATGAGCTAGTTATCTTCTAAAAGGCTGAGGTACACAACTCTTGAAATGCTTATAAAGATATTGGATAGCTATAGCTGGCCATTTTGAGGCACTCTAGACTGTGTTACTAGGTGAGAGCTGTGTTACTATCACCATTATTTCAGGTCAGTGCTATCATCAAAACACTGACTAATAACATTTAACAAGTATTGCAGTAGGCAGTCCTTAGAGGTACCAATTATTTCAAAACAACTTTTTGAGTTTACTCCAAGGTTAAAATAATTAACTAGCTAAGCATTATTATTCTACTGGTCTAAGAAACATGTATCCTTTATTTTCATTCCCACTGCTATGGCCTTTTCACATTTCTAATTCTCAGCTTGATCTATGAATACTCTAGAATGATATAAAGCAGATAGGAATGTATGTGTATATATTTATTGCACACTTGCACATCAAATCGATTTACATAGTATAATATGTGGTCCTTTTGTGAAACCTAGAACTCAAAGGATTCCTTTTATTTTTTTCTTTGGGCCTATTCTGAGTAACTGCAGTGCTTTCTTAGGGAAATAACAGGGCAAAGCTATTTTTCTTTTGGCTTTGGGCTGTATTTGTGCACTGAATCTTTATTCTAAAAAGAAATAAATGGAAACTTTTCTTTAATTTTTTTAAAATGAGAATTTTCATTTACACCTACATTAAAATCTTAATGAGAAAAATAATTTAAAATACTGTATGTGTTCTGTCTTTAATTTATATTATCAAATATAGGACAATAGAACTATAGGTTTTATACACACACACACACACACACACATTATTCCAATACAGTGACTTAAAATTTAGTTCACTTACCCTGTTAGCATCAGGACTCAATTCTACTTTTCCTTCAACTTGACTGAGACTCCATATAGCATTTATGATCCTCAGAGCTGGGAGTCATAGTAAGATATACTACTGAGATTCATTCTATCAAGAGTAGTAGAATTCTTAGGGTTAAGGTAAAAAGGACTAGGAGTCAGGCATGACTACAAAGTGAACTGCGTTATGAACCACAACTTCACAAAGTGATGTATTATAAGAAATAGAGGAGCTTAGGATTCATCATTTACCTCAGGGACTCAGTAGCTACACATGAAGACAAAACACTCCGTATAAAAAGATTCTAAAGGTGCTTCTGAAAGATGTCACCATTGGTGGACTCCCACATAGAAGATTAAAGGATGATTTTTGAACAGTGAAGTTGATAGTTTTTCATGTTCAGCAGTTAGTCTAAGAGACGGAGTTTCTTGGCTGAATTAGCCGATCAATTAAATATTTTCCAGTCTCATTCTTAAGCTCACAGAGCCACTTGGACAAATTATTTTTGTTCCATTAAGTATCTTTGGAAAATAATTTGTTGGATATATGTATGTACATATGTAGAATTGAGACATTTTATGATAAAAATCCACCCTAATAAGCATTGAATTTTGAAGCCTGAAGTTAACTGCGTAGCCTGCAGTGTTTTTCTCAGCCCTCGGCCATTAGCACTGTATTACTCTCATGCTGCCTTTTCCAATGTGCCAGGGCCCATCTTCTTGGCCAGAGACTTCCTTATATAAGGTTGCACCATATGCCAGAAAGAAAAATGTCAGTGATGCAAGTAAGTTGCAAGAATTTAATAACAAAGCAAAACTTAAGTACTAGTTTCTGATGGCTTGTTTTGCACCTTTCAGGAAACACCGTTTTCCTAGCTCATGCATATTTCTATAGGTATAGAAAAGGGCTGGCAGCTATAGAACAGGAGATAGGCTGTAGCAGTTTGAACTGAAGTATCTGGAATCTCACTGACTCGTGTATCATCAAAGCTAAACCAGGCTTGGGTCACTGAGTTCTTGCAGAAAGCAGTGTAGTGGCCACCATCCAGATCACCAAAGTGGTTCTAAGGAAGGAAGGAATGTCAGACTTAGTATTCACATGCAGATAATCTAATGCTTGGGCAGGGGGGTAGAGTCAAGAAATACTTTTCATAATTATCCCTTATACTAAATTTAAAGGAAATGATAATTGTGTTAAATTGAGTCATGCATACAGCCTGAACTATATTGTTTCTCATTTTATGGAAGTACTTATATACTGTACCCATTGACAACTAAACAGAATCTGTGAATGAAATAGGACAGTACTTGACTTAATATTTATCAGTTAATACTGAGCACTTAACTACACATAAACAATTAAACATCAAGTAAAGTTTAAAAATAAGATAGTCATCTTTCCTAAATGAGCTTATAGTATAATTTCAAAGATAGGCTAAAATAGACATGAAAAAACACATTTAGCATTGGAACAAGGCATTTCTGCAGCTGCAGCCGGCTACCGTCCAGGGTGGGGCATGCAGCGACAGCCCCCTCAAGAGCCTGTTCATCCTTTTCCCTTTGTCTTCACTAACCCAGAGACGTCGGAGAGCCTCACTCCTCAGAAGGTGGTATAGTGCACAGCAGGGGTTGACCAGCCACTTGTCCACAGGCATCATCCAGCCTGCTGCCTGTTTTTGTATGGCCGGTGAATTAGGAATGCATTCTATATTTTTGTATGGTTGAAAAAAAAAATCAAAAGTACTATTTTGTGACATGAAAAGCCTATGAAATTCAGATTTCAGTGTCAAATAAAGTTTTATGAGAACACAGCCATGCTCATTCTTTCATGTTTTTCACTGGCTGCTTCTATACTACAACAGTATTATATTTGCAGGAGACCCCATGTGGCCTGCAAAGCCTAAAACATTTACTGCTTCACCTTCTACAGAGTAAGTTGCTGATCCCTGGTGTTAAAGAAAATGGTTTTTTGTAGTCAGTTTTGACTGACTGCAGGTCTAATACTAAGGACCTTAAGGAAATTATTTAACCTGAGTTTTAATTCCCCCATCTACTAAAATGGGGTAATAAGATTGGTTTTACATAGCCATTGTCAGGTATCTCATATTACAGAGCTAACGCATAGAAGGGACTTACTAAACGTTCCTTAGACCTTCATCTTCTCCTGAGCCCTGGGAGGGTGTCCATACTGCAGCCCGCGGGCCGCAATGCAGCTCAGGTTGGCTGTGAATGCGGCCCACCACAAAATCGTAAATCTACTTAAAACATGAGGGTTTTTTTGTAATTATGTGTTGTAATATATTTAATGTGTGGCCCAAGACAACTGTTCTTCCAGCGTGGCCCAGGGTTGCCAAAAGGTTGGACACCCCTGTTAGAGAAATATTCTAAAACTATTAAAAGTCCTGGTCCTGGTCTTTGCCATGTGACCTTAAGTTGATATGTGTCCGTTTCCTTATTTATAAAATGGTGCCCATAATAGCGTGATTAATCTGAGGAAAAAAAAAAACAACTGGTGGATAAGTAGTACCCCGACAATGAAGTAATGTTCTGAAGTGATTATACAGAAGAGAACTGGAATACAGTATTCAGTTTTGATGATTTAATATAAGAAAAATGACGGAAGATGGTCAAGTATTTTACTAGACTTCCATTTTCAGGAATTATGGTAGATAATTAGCTAACCTGAGAGCCTTAGTTATAACACTGTAAGGAATCCTGGATAAAACATGGTAAACACCCTTTGACCTGTATTTCTGACTTGAAGGATTTTTCAGTAAGAGTAAACACTGGGGACCAGGAGCCGAGGAAATAAGTAGCGTGATGTATGGTTGATGCTGTGACTGCGTCAGAGTAAAGATAATTCCTAGTCGCCGTAACCAAGGTGCTTCAGTTTTAAAGGGCACACAAGAGCAGGAGGTAAAGGCTTAGGTCTTTACCTAAGCAAGGTGAGGAACTGGATTGAGGTCCACACACAGCCAGGACTCAAAGAGATTCACCCTCAATACAAGGATAAACTAGGGAGGGAGGAAATCCCATCCTTAGGGCTTGTCTTAGTTTAGGCTGTGGGTACAGAGTGTAAAAGTCATTTGTAGAAATGACTCTGATTGAGAATCCTGTGACTCTAATGTGAGAAGTATTTTGTGGGTGCCAAGCAGAAGAAAAGAGAATTACTTTCTGGACTGATGCACAATAATTCAGGCTGCATAGGATACCCATGGAAAAAAACCCCAGCGACGTTGTGCTCGCTACTCAAAATTACAGAACACAAGGAAATCATTCACCTTGAGTAAGAGTCAGAAGGCAATAAATGCCAGGATTAAACCCCCAAGGACTTTAGAGAATGGAATTATCAAATACAGGCTACAAAGTACATTTAAAATTTATTAGAGACAAATGGCAGAAGGAAGCTAACTTTAAAAAAACTAAATAGAACATCCAGAAATGAAAAATGTACTTTCAAATTGAAAATTTAGTATAGAGAGGCGAGTCCCAGACAGTGGCATAAGGGTGCTGAGCTTGCCACCTCCCAAGAACACACAATGTACACCAATATTTAGAGCCATTCCCCCGAGAGACAGCTGAGGGCCAATTGAAGAGCTTCTGCAGGACACGAGAAAGAGAGAGAAGATGCAGAAAGAAGGAAGGGGAACTGCAAGAGCTCTTCAGAGCTGAGAGAACTCTACAGAACCAGAGAAACCAGTGACTGCATTGTTTACTTTTACCCTATGCTTGGACAGAGGGTGGGAGTTCTGGCCGGGTGCTCTGGTCGACCTGCAAGGCTGCTATAGTGCTTCCCCAGCCACTCCAACAGGAAAAGGTGCCGTAATGCGTGTACAGGACTCCTCCACCTGGGGATCGATCCCCCTGGGTATGGCAGGGTGCACACACAGGGCTCCCCCACCGGAAAATGCAGAACTAGCAAAGTGCTGCAGTACCTGCATGCAGAGCTGCCTCCTCATGAGAAACTGCTAAGACAGGGTGGTACTGTTACACGACCACAAAGAGATGCCCCATCTGGAGAAGGTGCAGAACCAGTGGGGTGCCACTGCGAGCATACGCAGGACTGACATGCCCAGAGAAAGTGCAAAAGTAGCAAAGTGTGGTGCGCGCACACAGCTGCTTGTCCAAAGGAAGTGAAAGTAGTCGGGCACTGCCACGTCACACTCAGGGAAGCCCCTCAGGCCTGGCTTGGGCAACAGACAAAACAACAGGGCCGACTGTGCACTGAAGGCAGCCCCTCCGGGGTCAGAAGGGCAAGGAGGGACGCACACGTAAGGCTGCCCTGCCTTGACTCCATTCTGGCTATGGACAGCCAGAACAACGGGAGCTAGTGCATGTTGCAGGGCCTGGAGGCCGTTCCTTCTGGTTAGGAGGCATGCCAGGCACCGCGCATACCCACCCTCATTCCAACTGGACTACCAGAGTCACCCGGCACACAGCCAACATGCCACTTTTTCAAGACTGAGAGAGACAGTTACTTCTAACTCAGAAGAAACACAGAAAGGCAAACAAAATAGGGAGACAGAAGAATTTGCCCGAAACGAAGAAACAAGAATAAAAGCCTTAGTAAAGAACTTAATGAAATGGAGATAAATAATGTGCCTGAAAAAGAATTCAAAGAATATTTGCATTTTAGGGATTTCAGAAAGAGAAGAGACAAAGGGGACAGAAAGTGTATTTGAAGAAATAAGGGCTGAAAACTTTACAAATTTGGGGAAAGAAACAGACATTGAGGTCCAGGAAGCACAGAAAGCTCCAAACAAGATGAACCCAAAGAGGCCCACAAGACACCCTATCATTAGAATGGCAAAGGTTAAAAATAAAGATACATCTTGAAGGCAACAAAATGGAATCAAGTCACATACAAGGGAAACCCCTTAAGGCTGACTTTTGAGCAGCAAATTCACAGGCCAAAAAGAAGTGGCAGAAATACTTAAGGTGCTGAAAGAAAGGAACATACAACCTATACCAGCAAGGTTATTGTTCAGAATTGAAGGAGAGATCCAGAGTTTCCCCAACAAGCAAAAACTAAAGGAGTCCACCCACCACAACTCAACTAGCTTTATAAGAAATGTTAAAGTATCTTCTTTCTGCCAAAAAAAGGTCATAACCATAAACGAGATAATTTAAGAAAGGAAAGAAAGATCTCACCATTAAGGCAAATATATAATGAACACAGTGAATCAACCACTTAAAAAACAGACAAAAAGAAGTTTTGAAAGTTAACAGAGAAAAGCAGCAAAATCAATAAACATATCCTTATGTGAGAATTAAAAATATTAGAGCACAATTGAATGAAATAACAAAATGACTATATAAAAATTAATACAACAAAGAGGTGGTTCTTTGAAAGGATTAGTAAAATTGACAAACCCCTAGCTAGACTCACTAAGAAAATAAGAGAAAAGACTAACATAAACAAAATCAGAAATTAAAGAAACATCACGGATATACAAAGGGTCATAGAAGAATACTGTGAAAGACTATGCCAATAACCTAGAAGAAATGGATAAGTTCCTAAAAACATATAACCTTCCTAGACTGAATTAAAAAGAAATGGAAAAATCTAACTATGAGGTTACCAATAAACAGTGAGGAAATGAAACAAGCATCAAAACCTACGGAAAAAACAAAAGTCCAGAACCAGATGGCTTCACTAGTGAATTCTATGAAACATTTTAAAAAGATTTGATACCTATCCTTCACAAACTCTAAAAAATTGAAGAGGCAATACTTCCTAACACATTTTATGAGGCCAGCATAGCCCTGATACCAAAGCCTGTCATGATAACACTAGAAAATAAAACTATAGACCAGTATCTCTGATGAATATGTATGCGGAAATCCTAAAAAAAAACAACAACAACAACAACAAAACTCTAACAAATTGAATAAAACAATACACTAAAAAAAAATAATACACCATAATCAAGCAGTATTCATGCCAGGGACACAAGAATGGTCCAACATATGCAAATTGATCAATGTAATACACCACATTAACATAATAAAGGATAAAGGCCATGATCATATCAATAGATGCAGAAAAATAATTTTTTAAAAGATTTTATTTATTTATTTTTAGAGAGGGGAAAGGAAGAAGAGAGGGAAAGAAACATCAATGTGTGGTTGCATCTCACTTGCCCCTGACTGGGGACCTGGCAATGTAACCCAGGCATGTGCCCTAGACTGGTAATTGAACCAGCGACACTTTGGTTTGCAGGCCGGCACTCAATCCACTGAGCCACACCAGCCAGGGCCAGAGAAAGAATTTGATAAGATACAAAATCCATTTATGTTTAAAACATTCAATAAAATGGTTATAAAAGGAAAGTACCTCAACATAATAAAGACCATATATGACGAACTCTCAGCTAATATCACACTCAATTGTGAAAAAACTAAAAGGTTTCCTTCTAAGATGAGGAACAAGACAAGGATGTCCACTCTCACTACTGTAATTCAGTATAGTGGTAGAAATCCCAACCAGAGCAATCAGGAAAAAGAAATAAAAGGTATCCAAATTGGGAAGGCACTAGAACTGCCACTTTTTGCAGATGACATGATTCTTTATATAGAAAACCCTAAAGACTCGGCAGAAAACTATTAGAAACAATAAGCAAATACAGTAAAGTTGCAGGATACAAAATCAATATACGAAATACCACAGCTTTACTATATGCTAACAACAAAATTTCAGAAAAAGAAATGAAAACAATTCCTTTTGCAATTGCAACAAAAATAAAATATGTAGCAATAAACTTAACAAAAGATGTGAAGGAC